GCTGCTGTGCTTGTGAACTGTATGGAGTTAGTTAGGGCTTCCAGTCCATCCCTGCTGCCCCGTCCTTCCACACAACCTCTCCTTCCTGCTTTCCTTCCATAAGTAAACCCTGGGAGTTTTGAAGCTATTTTCAGCTTGTGTTCTTTTAGAGGGAAGAATACGTGTTGATAATATTTTTTTAATGTAAATGGAACAATCTAGTAAAATTTTGCTAGAAATGAATGCATCTATTAGTTTTACTTTAGGAGAAATTTATAGATTGAACTTGTTTCTAGTTTTAATGAATTGAAATTATTTTTTGTATGTGTCTGGATAGCATAATTCCATCAGAGTCTGCTAGTCGGCCCAGAAAACCCTGCAATTGTACAAAGTCGCTGTGCTTGAAATTGTGAGTAGCTTATTATTCTTTGCTTATTTGATACACCTAGAAATGTTCTTAAAATTAAATGAAACTAGTTGGGCATGGTTGTACAAGCCACATAATCCTAGCACTTGAAAATGGACTTAGAAGGATCCTTAGCCTGAGCTACATGGTGAGTTGGAGGCCAGCCTGAGCTACATGGCTCCCTGTAGGTAGCTAGATGATAGATAGATAGATAGATAGATAGATAGATAGATAGATAGATAGATAGACAGACAGATAATTCAAAATACCTAACAGACACATTAAGTCTAAACAATTTAAGTAAACCTGAATGTGAATTGTTGAGCACACGCTGTAGCATAAAAACTATCTTTCCATTGACTTAAGGAAAATAATCTGGGTGTGGTGGCCCATACCTATGATCCTGTCACTGAAGAGATTGAGACAGGAGGACCAACAGGAGTTCAGGAATATCCTATACTGTCTATGATAGTGAGTTTGGGACATCTTACACCATACAGACCCTGCCTGTGAAGACAACAAGCAAAAACAGAAGAAAATAATTTTCCTCCATATACCAGTAGAAACTAGGGACCCAGCAACCTGAGATGTAGGATTATGTCTCATTATTAACACGTTTGCTCTTATTTATGGCCTTATGTGGTCCCCAAGCCTGAAAATACTGGTGGTTTTGCTTTTACAGTACACGGTTTCTCTGTGCAACTTTGGAACCTTTCCTGGAACTCACTCTGTAGACCAGGTTGGCTTTGAACTCACAGATATTCTTCTGCCACTGCCTCTCTAGTGCTGATATTAAAGGCGTTCGACACCACCTCTCAGCCTACTTGTAGTTTTAAAGTCATTGAAAGAGGGCTGGAGCACTGGCTCAGTAGTTAAGAGCACTAGTTGCTCTTGCTGAGGGACAGGGTTCAATTCCCAATACCCAATCATTGCTCACAATCACCTGTAACTTCAATCACAGGATCACACCCTCTTTTGAAATCCATGGGCACCAGGCACACATGCATGCAGACAATGCACTCATACACATAAAGTAAATTTAAAAAACAAGTTAATGGGACAGTTCATTTTCCCATTAGGATTAAACTGAAAGATTTGACATGAAGAATTTCAGTGAAAAGTACTGGTCCTCTTGGAGATTGGGATCCCAGGCAGCACTGTTTCAGTGTCTGGGAGTCTGTAGTGAGAGTAAACCAGTCCCCTCTCATCAGGATTTTGAAATAACTCACTTAAGGGCACATCAAGTCACAAAGCTCCTGGGTTGGCATCTCCTAGTTTGACTAAGTTTGTAATTCCAGGAGGTGGTGGCTCAGATTTTGAGCCCTCATGTGTGATTGACTATCTGTATGTGCTGCTGTTAACTCTGTGTTTTAGGAGCTCTGAGCACATTTATAAAATGTACTAGATTTATAGTGTACATTTATAGTGTGCTACATTTATCGGTGTAGAAGGTATATGTGTATAATCAGGTAATTGCTATTTTATTTAAACTGACTTAATCTTTTACTGATTTTTATCTTCAGGTACTGTGATTGCTTTGCAAATGGTGAGTTTTGCAACAACTGTAATTGTACCAATTGTTACAACAATTTGGAACATGAAAATGAAAGACAAAAAGCAATAAAGGTGATTCTTTTTTTTTTAATTTACAAAAATCTCCTTATGTTTAAAGAACTCAGTTGCTTTACAAAGATAAATACTAATTTTTTACCGTTGAAGTGTTTAAGTTGAATCTGTGATCTAACCTCAGTTGGTATCTGATTTGTTCCAAAAGGCATGCCTTGATAGGAATCCAGAAGCCTTTAAGCCGAAGATCGGGAAAGGAAAGGAGGGGGAGTCAGACCGGAGGCACAGCAAAGGGTGTAATTGCAAACGGTCAGGATGTCTTAAGAACTACTGTGAGTGCTATGAGGTAAGATGCTGGCAAGGGAAGATAATCTCGCCACCTTTGAAAACGTCACTTCACAATTGACAATCACTGTGCTGTTACAATTGAAAGTATGCAGCTAGTACAGGATCCTTGTTTGAGGCAAGCCAGGGACCCTCCAAGCAGGGCTTGAGAAGAGTGTTTCTCGGGCTCCTCATTCCCCATGGGGTTGTTTGCTTTTATTAGCTGAGCTACAAGTCTATGACTTAATAGTAATTGCGTGGAAGCATGTAAATCAGAACACTAGTCTTCTAATTTTTCACTTACAGTAGTAACATAGCCACAGAGCAACTAGGGCAGAGCTTCTAGGGAAGGCACAGCACTTCCCACCTAGCTCCATGGACTCTTTAGACTTGAGGAGGACTGCTCTGCAGGAGGGAGCACGTGAGATGCTGCAGTTGAGTCACTGGTGCTTGCTGTGAGCCCACTGAATCCTTTCTCCCTGCTTCCTTGACACTGGGCTAGCTGGTTTTGTTACTGATCGAGTGCAAAATCATCTGCATCTTACTTCAGACAAGGTCTTAAACTTGTTATTTTTTTATTTTCTTATTTTCCTTGTTTGTTTTTTGAGACAGCGTTTCTCTGTAGCTTTGGAGCCTGTCCTGGAACTTGCTCTATAGACCAGGCTGGTCTCACACTCATAGAGATCGCCTGCCTCTGCCTCCCAAGAGCTGGGACTAAAGGCGTGTGCCACCACTGCCTGGCATTATTTTTTATTTTCAAAGCTTAAACGTAACAATCTGCCAGTGCCCGATATTAACCCTTTGGGTTGAGTCATTCCTATATTCAGCTCTTCTATATTTTCACTCTTTGAAATGTCATTTTCAGAGGGGAATTCCCCTACCCCCAGTTTTGACAGAAAGCCTCTCCTTTCACTAGGCAAAGGAACACTACTAATGATGTGCTCTTCTTGGAAACTATCTCCTGCATTTCCATTACCTTCTCCCATATGAAACTAATCATATTAAGGTTTTGTGTGCCGTCTTCTTTGTGAATTTACTATTTATAAAAAATCGAGTGCTGGTGGATACAGCTCAGAGGCCAAGCACTTGCCCAGAGTTTACAAGCCCAGCTTGTACATACTTATCAAAAGATCAGCTTCTCTTAAAGTTGGAACTAATGTGTTAGCTCCATAGCAATAGAAGTGGAAAATATATAAACTTTTAAATTATGTGACTTCTTGAAATCCAGAATGCCAGTTTTTCAGCCAATGCTAGAATACTTTTTGCCTTTTTGTTGGAATAACTCATAAAACATTTGACTTGTGTTTGTAGCCAGTGTCATAGAAACTTGGAGTTTGGATATGAAAGGCATTGGAATGCATCTCCAGAAAAGGAGAAAACAGGCTTTGCTCTGTCAAAAGCTAAGTCAAAGGGCACTAAGTCAGTTTGTGTGTGGCACAGAGCAGCCAGGACCTCACACATATGTGAATGATCATTCGGTTGAGCTATTAACAGTCTATAGGGTAGTAGAAGTAGAAAAGATAGTGGGACGGTTAGAAAGTGGGAGATGCTATATTACTGCCTAACAACTGACTTGTCATTGTAAAACGCATTTACAAAAGGGAAAGGAATGAAAAGCCATGAATTGTGGTGGTTAATTGACCAGTTGCATTGACAATGTTTTCTAACAGTTGGAGGTTTTCGTTCTACCTTGAACAGGCAGTTGAATTGGCTTTTGATCCTGTTGGCGTACCTCTGGATAACACATTCAAGTTTATTTTGCCTATCCTCACCTATTATTTGATTATGTGTGGCTCTACACACTGTTTAAATGCTTCTGCCCTTTTTGTGTAACCACAACTCTGATTTGACTTCTGGGGAGGGTGAATTAGCAAAGCTAAGTAGATAACACAGTTTTCCCATTGCACAGTGGCTGCACCTGAATCTGCTCTGTTTCAACCAGTACTTGTGGGCACCGAAGTTACTGACTCATTTCTCAAGCAGTGGCCTGCTGGATCTGCCTCCTGCCACTGCCACCAAATGTAGTTTTTAACTAAATCTGTATTGTTCTATTTTTCAGTAAGACTCGGGAGTCAGAGGCTGGGGTGAAAACCTTCTAGCTCAGAGAGGTTGAGGAGCAACTAACTAACTGACCTTCCCTCTTCACTGGTGTCTCAGAGAGAATCCTAGTGCTCCACCAAACCAGAAAAGACTGGCACATTCAAAGTCCCTCCCTACCACTTCCTGTGTGTCTCTCTATCATCTTACAGACTCCCTCTGACTCTCTGTGATTACTTTCTATCAACTAGTTGCTGCCTTTACGTCTTTCCTTATCACATTGGAAACCCAGCATGGTGGTGCACACCTTAATACTCAGGAGGCAAAGGCAGGTAGATCTGTGGATTCAAGAACAGCTTGATGTACATAGTGAGTCCCAGGACACCCAGAGCTATGTAAGAGAGACCCTGTCTCAAAAATAATTAAAAAATATATTTGGGAAAATAGTAAAAAGTTATAGTGCCCATGTTGGTGGAAATATAGGCAAGCTGTAAAGAACACATTGTTGTTGAGGTGTGCAGTGTTAGGGCTGGAAAATCAATCAAACCATGTCACTTAAAATATACATATGCTTTGAACTCTAGTTCAGAGACATAGAAGTTGTATTTGGACACTACTTCCTCCAAAACAACAACAACAAAAGCCCATCCCTTTTTATTAGGGTAATGAATGACCCAGAAACAACAACAAAAGCCCATCACTTTTTATTAGGGTAATGAATGACCCAGAAAGCATGGCAAGTCATGCCAGGGATCCAGCTCTGCTGGGTGACTGAGAGCTGTGAAGCGTAAGGAAAGGAGGCGCTCCAAAGCCATCAGGTGATTTTGTAAAACAAGCTCATGCAGCATAGGCTGGCCTTGAACCACTAATCTTCCTACTTCTGTTTTCCAAGTGCTGGGATTATAGATGTGGCCATCATACCTAGCTTCAGTCTGTGTTTTCATGAAAACATACTTTCAATTTGTACATATGAGAACATACTGGCATATGGATTTGATTATTGAAGGACTTGGTAATCTGGTTCAGTGAAGGAGGAGAAAGCAATGCTTGAAATCCCCTTTTCCCTTTGTCCTTCCGAGATAAGACTCACACTTGTAGCCTAAGCTGGCTTCAAATTCTTGACAGTCAGTCTTTCTACCTCATCTGACCAAGCTCAGGCATGAAATCCCTTTAGTGTGAAATTGTGAGTTTGTCTGTGTTAATGGTGATTTGATTGGGGTTGGGTTCTTAGTGACCTTTTTAAAATATGTTCATGTTTTATTTATATCCGTTCTGAACTGAAGGTTAGTTCTCTGTGGGTGAGACTCTGAAGTCAGACTGGGAGCTGAAAGGCCTGGTAAAGCACTGTCCTCAAGTACTCCTCACTCCACCCACAGGCACAGCCTCTGGACCTGCAGAGTGTGCTTCCGTTCACGCTTACCTTGGATGACAAGATAATGCTATTACTTTTCTGTTGTGGAACCTACTTACAGTCATATTTTCTGTTTTTGATTTGGAAACTTCCCTTTTGTAAATCTTTCAGGCAAAAATAATGTGTTCCTCCATCTGCAAATGCATTGGCTGTAAGAATTTTGAAGAAAGCCCAGAGCGGAAGACCTTAATGCACTTAGCAGACGCAGCTGAAGTGCGGGTCCAGCAGCAGACAGCAGCCAAGACCAAGCTGTCCTCTCAGATCTCAGACTTGCTGACAAGGCCAGCCCCAGCTCTCAACAGTGGAGGAGGAAAGTGAGTCAATTCTTTGCAAACCCTTTTTGTCTGCGCCTCAGACGTTCATTTTTAGTAAGGCTTCTTTTTAGGGAGACAAGGTTAAATCCAGACTCTCTGCTGTTGCCAACCTGAATTTTCCATTTTCCCTCCACCTTACTTACCTTTTAAGTGAGTTGAAGAAAAACCACTGTCAGATTCTGTGCTGTTCTATAACACACAGAAGTCCTTTAGTTTGCTGTGGCTATTAATGGGATTTCTGTCTGTTAGCTTGGGTAAGTGTTACTGTGAGAAACTCTTGAGAAAACCTGGGTTTACTGTGCTTTCAGTGGTGCCCCTCATCTCCTTAGTGCTCTTGGCTATGACTGGTCCTGTTGGTGGGCTCCACAGAGAAACCCTGTCTTGAAAAAACAAATCAGTAAATAAAACCAGATTAATTAATTAGATAAAAATAAACAAAGGTGTTATATCTAAAGAATTACATATAAAATATATAAAGGTATTATATATAAATACATAGCATAATTACCTGAAAGGAATATATGCCTACAAAAGTAGGTAGCCGGTGTTTTCTGAGTTACTTCTTAGTCTGGAAAAGCACTCTCCGTCACATGTCTCAGTTCTCTGGGAACTGCACGAAGCATTTGCCAGTATTTTTCAAGGTCTGCTGTTAACACAGTAATTTGGACTTGGATTTATTTATATTAGACAGTATATTATAGATTAATTTGAGAAATTATTAACAGACTAAACCTTGCAAATGATCTATTACAGCGGTTCTCAACAAGTATGTAGTGCCTCCTTTGAGTGTTGAATGACTTTTTTCACAGGGGTCACGTAATCCTGGATATCAGATATCTACATTACAATTAATTCATAACAGAAGCAAAATTATAGTTGCCAAGTAGTAACAAAAATAATGTTATGGTTGGGGGTCACCACAGCATGAGGAACTATGTTAAAGGGTCATAGCATTAGGAAGATTGAGAACCACTGACTTACAGGGTGTTCTTAGTCCTTAAATTGTTAGTTGCCTGAGTTAATCTCTCTCAGGCTTTGAAACTACTTAGCTACACTGTAGGACCTTCCTAGAACATGTTTCCTTTGTTATTTGTTGTGGTGGAATAAGGTGGGGATTTGGAGGGTTTTTGTTATTGTTGTTTGGTTTTTGGTTTTTGTTTGTTTGTTTGTTTTTTGAGACAAGGTCTCTACATAGCCATGACAGTCTTGGAACTCACTAGACCAGGCTGGCCTTAAACTCAAAGAAATCTGCCTGCCTCTGCCTTCCGAGTGCTGGGATTTAAGGTGTGTGCCACACACTCAGGCTTTTGTTTGTTCTTTTTAACAACTCATATGAGGGAGTGTGGTAGAACTTTGTTTTCAGTAGTTCTTTTGGTTGCCAGTAGTGTTCATGGAATTCCTCTGTGTGTCAGGAAAGAGACCATCAAACCAGGACAGCACTCATAGTGCATTTTGCACACTGGGGAGATTTGTGTAAAAGAACACACAGTATAGGTCTAGAATTACAGATTTTATTGAGTCAGATAATATTGTCTGGGAAGTAAATCATGTGTTTTATGTTAAATGTATTTCCTGATAAATATTTTTAGATGTGCTTACTGAGACCAAACTTGTGTCTTAGAGCTCGTGAGGCTGTGTGTGACTCAAACTGACGTTTCTTACACTGGTGCAGCACGAAGGTACCAGTAGAATCTCAGGTCAACTCCATGATTACCTGTGTTTCTCTCTCAAACATATTTCAGATTGCCATTTACGTTTGTAACTAAGGAAGTAGCTGAAGCCACGTGTAACTGCCTCCTTGCCCAAGCAGAGCAGGCAGACAAGAAGGGGAAGTCAAAGGCAGCGGCAGAGCGGATGATACTTGAGGAGTTTGGACGGTGTCTGATGAGCGTCATCAACTCTGCAGGGAAAGCAAAAAGTGACCCTTGTGCCATGCACTGCTAACTCCTTCACAAAAGCTGCACGTGGACTGTACAGAAAACTTAAGGTGCCAGGACACTTGATTTTCTAGAAGATAGTTTAACAATTACTGTATTTTAATTCAGCCCTTGTTTCAGAGACCTGAAACTATAATATTGAATGAGAAGAATTTTTAATTGAAGAAATTAGTACATTTTAAATCTTAGTTAATTCTGCCTATGTCCCTTCCAAATTTTTTCTTTAAATAGTTTTCCTTTATTGTATTACATATTTTTTTAATTTGCTTGGGTTTCTTAAGAATTAGATGTTCTGTCCTTCTGATTCCATTGACAAAGTACATTCATAAATTATTGTAATATCATTTATAATGTATGGTGTTGTATGACTTTGTTCAGTAGAAAAAGCCAAAGCAGCTACCCATTCTTTGGCTCCAGACCCAGAGCATTCACAGGTAGAATGTCCACATACCCAGATTCTTAATGAAACATACAACATTTTCTCTAGAAAAACACCATCCTTTTAAAGAAAAATCAGCTTTTTTGGGTGGATTCTGGAATACTATCTGTTGTCTTTGGGAAATCAGAAGGGGAAATAATCCCAATCACACTTTTCAGATATGCAAGTTGTATTTTCTTTAAAGAAAACAAAATATGAAGGGACAGATGGGTCTCTGTGATGAGGAATGGCTAACATGTTCTGGGATGTCTTCATTTTCTTTGAAGGAGGTGGTATGTTTTACAATAATTGTCAAAGTCATTGTGGATAAGTACTAAAATGAGAGATCGTGTGAACTGAAGTAAACATTTTATGCCAAGATAATGTAGGACTCATAAGCATCAAGTACAAAATTTGACTTGGATGGAGAAGCAAGGATACAAAGCTGTGAGATTATGTTGGAGTTTTTACCCACACAGTTCTCTGTGTCTAGACTTTTGGAACTAAGTCTGAATCAATGTGTGTGAACTGATTTACTGAACGGGCTCCTAGCAGCTTTCACAACTGTTATGAACTATCTTCTTAGAAAGGCAGCTTAACTCAGCAATGTTTTAGCCAGTGATTTGGTAGGTTGAAGTATGTGTGTTCTCATAACTGCACAAATAACCTAAATCATTTTCAGTAATTAAAAACTGTATGCTCGTAGGAGCCTGTTGTAATAGAACCCTTGAGCTTATAACAAGGGAAAACTATGTTGGGATTGAGGCATTTTGTAAGGTACCTAATCCTCAGTAACTATTAACATATGCTTATTACCCTCCAACAAGGATTCTATAGTTGTATGTAATAAGTGTGTATATATGTTCATATGAACATGAAAGATATAGGCAATAGAAATTAATGCAAAGAGGATTCCGTTATTCATTAAAGTATCCTCTTTTTAAAATGTGGATTTATAAATTATAGTGCAGTAACTTTAAATGTAGATAGTGCAGACATTCTTAGCACCTCAGTCTAGTGTGTCAAAGTAAACTTTGTATAAATGTAAATTAGTCTAAAAGGACAAAATAATATTCATCAAGTTATTTTTCAGGAAACTGCAATAAGTTTTTGGTCTAAACCTAAACTTTGTTCATTTTGTATATATTATGTGTTAATTCTAATTGCACCATTGTGATGTGTATTTATATACAGTGTGCACAAAATGTTTGTGAATTTTTGATTATAATTGTAGATTATGTATGATGGCATTGCTTACGAATGTTTTGCTTGTAAAAATTTGAAGGTGCAATCAAATGCTACTAGTTTTGATTTTTCAGAAGCTCTCTGAAGTATCAAGCCCTCCCTCCCCATCTGGTACTCACTAAACAACCTTTTGTATTAGGCATTTGCATCAAATCGCTGAACAAAGTTAATAGTCACATTAACTCATCAATTTTAAAAGATTATTTGGGGAGGGTTCGGTACATAATTTTTAAGCCCTATTTACATCCCAAAGTAGAAAGATTATATTACTAGAGCTATTCAAAAAGTTCACTTTTCTATATTGTAAAAACAGGGCAGAAGAATAAATCATACAGAAAATAAACATTTATACTATTCTGTAAGAAAAAAAAGGTTTTGCATTTTTTCTTTAGTTCAATAATACCAGTTTTATCCATTTACCATGCAACAAGACTTTTTAGTTACCTGATTTTCAAGCACGTTTGAAGTTACTTCTGAAAAAACTTGAAAGCTCTCATCTTTGCACAGCTCATTAGCATGGATTGCATTGAAATGAGAATATGTCTGCTTTTTCACTTCTATGGCAGAAATGCTGTCTACTCTCTTAGATGCATGATGCTGTCATGACCGCCTTCATTAGTTCTTGTGGCTCTGAAGCAGTGAAAGCAGCCTGTAGACCTTATATTTGAGATGGACACTTGGTGTACTAAAGTAAGCAGGGCACTGCTCCAGGGAGGAAGACGGGCTGGCTTAGCATCCCCATTCTTTTGATACTTCATAATTGGCATTTTGCAATCTTATGTAAAATGTGAATAAAAATAGCTTCAGAAAGTTTTTCTATTTTTGCTCTGTAATGCTGATTAGAAAAGGAATACTCGTCACATCATTGAAGCTTACCTAGGTTCTTCAGCTCTGCCTGGTTAAGTATTCTGGTTTGTTGTATTGTGGGTGATGAATTCTGGGCCTTGGTTAGGCCAAGCAAGCACTGTATCACTGGACTGTACCCATAGCCCAATCTTAAGCACCTTATGTAGTGTTTCTGGAGGATCTATCTACTCAAAGCCCCAAAGCCAACCAATGAGAGATTTTACTATTGAAGTCCTTCCTGTTGTTGTTGTTATTATTATTAATTAGTTTGATTCTGTCAGGGATTGAATTTAGGGCCTCATGCATGTTGGTCAAGTGTTCTGCTACTGAACTACACCCCCCCCCCCCGTTGTGAAGCTTATTTTCTATTTATTATATAAATTATTTAAGCTTACCTCCTAGTTCTTATAGTTTCTTTAATACTTTATCTGTAGATCAGATGTAAGGGTTTTTTGTGTTTATTTGGTTTTGGGTTTCCTCTCTCCCATCCTCCCTCCTTTATTTTTTTGACATTCTCTCCTTCTTTAACCTAGGCTGGCCTCAAATTCATGATTGTCCTCCTGCCTCAGCTTTCCAGGGTGCTGGGAGGAATTACAGATGTAAGTCGCTCACCTGGCTTTTGTTTGGTTGGTTTGGTATTTTTGAGGCATTGTCTTGTGTAGCTCAGGCAGGCTCCTGTAAGTACGGGTTATTATGCTGAACCCCTGGTCCTCCTCACACTCAGTGTGTTGTGTGGGTTGCTTGTTTGTTTGTTTGCAAAGGTTTATTTTTAATTGTGTATATATGAGCTCCTAGCCACTGAATGAGCTCTCGGCCCCTAGCTGTGTGTGGCTTTGTTTTTCAAGTGGTTTTTAGAGTCTTGATTGAATACAGGGTGGTCCACATGCTAAACAAGCATTCTACCATCTGAGGTAGGCTCCAAGATCTAGCCATGTGATTTTCTTTTTTGAGACATGGTCTCACTGTGTACACCTTGCTCACCTGCAGACAGCTCAACTATGTAGACCTCTGCCTGCTTCTGCCCCTGCAATTTTGAGGATTAAAAATGTGTACCACCATGCTGGCCAAGGCTTTTTAAAAAGATCAAATATTACTTAAATGATAAATTTTTGTGGCAGCATTTAAGGCATTGTTAACTGTTAAGTATTTAAGTATTCAAGGTATTATTATAAAATCATTTTGACTTTTGTAATTCTGTAATAAGCAAATAAAAACTGACAGTACATAAAAAGAAAACATACCAGGAATAAAAGGGTGAGCCAATATTTTTTAATCAATGCAACTCACTGGATTACTATATATAAAAATGACCATAGTATTCTATAAGTTGCAGGAAGTGATGGCGAATATAGAAGGATTCTGCCAGGCAGTGTTGGCGCACGCCTTTAATCCCAGCACTTCAGAGGCAGAGGCAAGTGGATCTCTGTGAGTTCCAGGCCAACCTGGTCTACAGAGCAAGTTTCAAGATAGCCTCCAAAGCTGTCCTGTCTTGAAAGAGAAACCCTGTCTTGAAAAACAAACAAAAAAGAGTGTTATGGCATATGAATTATATTTCATAAAATTTTGGACATAAATGCAGGAAAAAGAAAATTCAGCACCCATTTATAATAGAAACACCTCTTAAGCAAACTAAGAATAACTAGATAAAGACCGCTGACAGAATGCCACAGTCATGGTGAAGTCAAGGTGTTTTCTCTGTGCGACTGGAAACAAGGCATTACTATTCATTACTTATTTATTAATAAGGCAGTGGGAGAAACAGGCCCACAGACTGGAAATGAGTAAAAAGCCTGTGGTTAGAGTTTGTGTTTGCCTGCACAGGAAAAATATAAAAGAATTTAATGAAAGCTATTGCTGAGTTTGGCAAGTATGCAAGAGACAATTGTACTTCTACATACTAGAAGTAAGCATTTAGATGTGGAAGTTTTAGCCAGGTGATAGTGGTGTACACTTTTAATCTCAGCACTTGGGAGGCAGAAGCAGGTGGATTTCTGTGAGTTCCAGACCAGCCTGACTTACAGATTGAGTTCTAGGACAACCAGAGCTACACAGAGAAACTCTGTCTTGAAACAAGAAAGAAAGAAAGAAAGAAAGAAAGAAAGAAAGAAAGAAAGAAAGAAAGGAAGGAGAGAGAGAGGAAGAAAAAAAGTTTTTAAATTACCATTTATAATAACACAAAAATATGAACTATGTATGTTTGTTCAATACAGTCTATATGCTAACAATTAGAAAACATTGATTTTTTTAAAGAAAAGATATGCCATACCTTATATTATAAAATTTAGTGTTACGCCAGTTCTCCTCAAATTTGTCTATAGATTGAGTGATACTCTGATCAAACTCCTTGCGGGATTCAGCTAGTAGATGGAAAGAAAAAAAAAAACCAGATGTATAAAGAGGCAGTAGGAGGACTCATACCTGATTTCAAAACTGATATACAGCTGCAGCAGTTAGGGCTGGCTTTGGTGATATACAGCTGCAGTGCTTATGGCTGGCTTTGGTGGAAGGACACACTAGGAAATGGTAGAACATAGTGGCCATGTTTATGCCAGTGTTTGAGAGCACAGTAAGTTCCATGTGGAAAGCAGTCTAAAATGATTAGTACTAGGATATATGCTCTTTAAAACACCCATATCAACCCACTATTCACATCTAAGTTACCCAAAAGTGGATTGTAACTGTGTGAGTTTGCCTTTATTGCCATAAAACACCTACCAAAAGCAACTTGGGGAGGAAGGGCTTTATTTCAACTTGCATCTCTAGGCAACAGCAGTCTCCACGAAGCGGGAAGTGAAACAGGGCAAGGAGGAAAGCTGGCTTACTCCCCACACTTGTGGGTCAGCCACCCTTCTTAGATCTGCAGGACTACCTGTCTAGGATCATTCCACCCAGAGTAGGCTGGGCCCTCCCACACCAATCGTCAACCAAGAAAATGCCCCCAGATACTTGTCTACAGGCCAATCTGATGGATGTGCTCTCATTTGAGGCTCTCCCTTCCCAGATGACTCCAGCTGTGTCCAACTGACAAAAGCAAATGAAGCACAGTAGCTTAAATGCAAAACCTGAAGAATAAATAATAAGAAAAATCCCTGGTACCCTGAAATGAGAAAGGATTTCTTAGTTTGAAAATGTTAGAGTTTTGTTTTGTTTTTTTGAGACAGAATCTAATGTTGGCGGTGCTGGCTTGGAGCACACTATGTGGATGAGCGTGACTGTGAACTTGAGTGTGTATGTGAACATGTAGAGGTCAGAAGACAATGTGGGGGAAGCTGGCCTTCTCCTTCCACAGTGTGGGCTCCAGGGATTGAACTCAGGTTGTCAGCTTGAGGGCAAATGCCCTTGAGTCATCTCACCAACTGCTGCCTTGAATTTCTTATTCTCTTGCCCCCACCTCCCAAGTGCTAAGATTCGAGGTGTGTATCACTATGGCCATTTTTTCACATAAAAATCATTATGTGTAGCTGTATGGAGGTCACAGGACTTGGTTCTGTCCTTCTACTCTGTGTGTCTCAGGGATTGAGCTCAGGTCATCAACCTTGGCAGCAAGTGCCTTTACTTGATTTTGGGGATCAGACCTAGGGCTCTGTGCACTCAGCAAGCACTGCACAAACTCCACTACATCCCTAGGCCTCACAAAAATTTTATACCCTTTCAAATGACATTTTCATGAAAATAGAAAGCCAAAATTTTAAAGATTATAAAACACATGAAATTTCATGTATATCTAGAATATATAATGTTCAATAAGAAAACAGCCTTGTAAAATGTGACTGAAAGATTGAGCAGATATTGCACCCAAAGTGCTGGATGTTAGACACAGGAGGAAAGCTGTCAGCATCATTAACCATTAGGAAATAAAAATGAATGCACACGACAGATTGCTGTAGGGCCCAGCCCATAATCCCAGCACTTGCAAGGCGGAACACATGTTGATGGCCATGAACTTTGGGCTACCTCGTTTACATAGATATTTCTGTGACAGCCAGGGCTGCATGCACACCAAGACTTAAAAGAGGGGAGGAATGGGGGGGTAGTGCCATCACTGCAGCTGACACCTATAATCTCAGAATTTGGAATGTGGAGATAGGAAGATCATGAGTTCAAGGTTAGCCTGGGCCACATGAGTCGCCATTTCAAAATAAAAGAGAATTAAAAAGAATAAGAATCTTGACCTGGCAGTGGTGGCACCTTTGATCTCAGCCTTCGGGATGCAGAGGCTCATGGATCTCTGTGAGTTCGAGACCAACCTGGTCTACAGGGTGAGTTCCAGGACAGCGTCCAAAGCTACAGAGAAACCCTGTCTCGAAAAACAAAACAAAACAAAACAAAAAGAATATGTCTGAGCCATTTATCTTTAATCCTAGCCGTTGGGAGGCAGAGATGGGTGGATCTCTGTGCCTTCAAGGTCAGCCTGGTCTACATAGAGAAAGGACAGCTAGAGCTACATAGAGAGACCCTGATCCAAACAGACAAGCAAAAATATGACTAGATTATGAGCTTTATTTTGGGTAGTATTTTGCTTTTCATTGTTTACTTTTTTGAAACTATACAATTCTGAATCATTTGTGATATAATCACTATGGGATTTGTGTTAGGCTACATATTAAACTAACATTATACTTCTGTTTAAAAAAGAAATCAAAAAAGAAATCTCATTGGTCACTGCACACCCAATAAATACTTAAGCCAGAATACAGGCTAACTAACTAATGGAAATTGAATAGTGGAAACTTTGTACATTGCTGGTTCAAATGCAGAATAAGTATGGTCATGACAAAACATGTTGACAGTTACAAATCCAGTGTGGCCTGACCCATTACATTGGCACAGCCTATTTTCATCCTTCCATGATTAGTTTTGCTTTCGTAATTTGTGGTTGGTAACTTTTGTCGTTGAGTTTGGTTTTTCCAGACAGGTTTCTCTGTGTAGCCCTGGATGTCCTGGAACTCTCTCTGTGGACCAGGCTGGCCTTGAACTCACTGAGATGCTCCTGCCTCTGCCTCCCAAGTGCTGGGATCAAAGGTGTGTATCACCACCACCTGGCATAATTAAAATTCTTAACTATTTAAAAGAAAAGCGAACTTTAACAGTTGAGGGGGTACTGTGAAAAATCTTAAACCAGTCTGCTGAGAACACTAACATTGCTACTGACTTAGCAAATACCCAAATTACTTGGTATTACCAAACTTGAACATCTGTAGTTCAAGAAAGAAAACTAGTGTTTTCGTGTCAAAAACTTGTAATTCTTTTTTTTTGTTTGTTTTTTGAGACAGGGTTTCTCGGTATTGTTTTGGAGGCAGTGCTGGAACTCGCTCTATAGACCAGGCTGGCCTTGAACTCAGAGATCCACCTGCCTCTGCCTCCCGAGTGCTGGGATTACAGGTGTGTGGCATATGCCCCTTTCAAGGGATAGCAAACTAGTTTTAGTTCTGATATTTAGGATACTGATTTCCAGATCCATTAGCAACTTTACAGAGTGATTGGTGGCACACATTTCTCCATCACAGATGCCCATTCCAATTTATAAAAGATAAATATGCCAAAGCTCATGGTATGTTTATAAATTTGGTGTGTGTGCTACATGGCACATGTACTTGCTCAGAAGATAATATCCAAGAGCCATTTTTTTTCTTGATCCAACTCAGATCATCGGTCATGTGTTGTGTTTGGCATGCCATGTGCATATGTTCATTTGCACACGTGTGGGTGAGTGCACATGCATATGTGACTGCTTGTGTGTGGAGAACCAGAGTTGACAGAGGCTATCTTCCTTGGTTGCTCTACACTTCCTGAATCAGAGTCTTGATGAACCCAGAGTTTGCTAATGTAGCTAGCCAACTAGCCCTGGGGATTCCCTGGCCCTCTCTGTGCTGGGACTATAGGTGGCTGCCACTCTGCCCAGTTGGTAGGTAAGTTCTGGGGACCTGAACTCCAGGCCTTATCCTTTGCAGGGTCACTGAGCCATCATTCAGCTGACTCCTCACTTCTTAGCTGTCATTAACACGCTACAATCTTTCTGTTTGGTAGCTGGTCAGAAATTCATAGGCTTGGAGGCCACAATTAGTAACAAGTAAAACCATGAATTGAAATTGCAGGGCTCCAGTGACCATCCACACTGCTGTGAGGAAACACCATGAACTAAGAAAGTTGGGAGGAAAGCGTTTATTTGGCTTACACTTCCACATGGTGGTCCATCACTGGAAGAAGTCAGGACAGGAACTCAAAGCAGGAACCTGAAGGCAGGGACTAATGCAGAGGCCATGGAGGATGCTTACTGGCTTGTTCTCCATGGCGTGGTCAGCCTGCTTTTTATAGAAACCAGGACCACCAGTGCATTGATAGCTCACCCACAATGGGCTGGGCCCCCTCATGTCAATCACAAATTAAGATGATGGCCTACAGACTTGCCTGCAGACAGGTCTTCTGGAGGCATTTCTCAGTTGAGGCTCCCTCCTCTCTAATTCTAGCTTGTGTCAAGTTGCCATAAACTAACCAGCACTCATGGTCTATCTACATATCCCTGGATGTCTTGGAACTCACTGTGTAGACCAAGCTGGCCTTGCATTTATTTGAAGATCCACCTGCCTCCACCTCTTGTGTGCTGGGACTAAAAAAAAAGCATGTGCCACCATGCCTTGTGTGTTCCTTGTCCCCACCCTTTTTAATGTTACTCCGAATGGGCCTGTCAGTCACCTGAGCAGGAACAAAAATAACCTATCTGTTGTAGAGACTTTCGTGATTTAATGTGTTCCTAAAAATGTAGGTTGCCACAATAACCAAAGTGGGTATGAGGATATGATAACATAATTTATAACCTCCTGGGTTATTTTGGATCTTGGTAAGTTGAAGCTAGTGTTGATTTTACACAAAAGCCAGGAGATAGTTTATGGCACATAAAGGAAAGAAATATATGCAGTTTGTCAAGAAAATACAGGGTAATTAGAAATGCTCCAATAATGGTACAAACATGTAATTCCAACACTCAGGAGGCTGAAACGTGGATCCAGTTTTTTAGAATGCCAGCTAGTGGTGGTACACACCTTTGATCCCAGCATTTGGGAGGCAGGAGACAGGCGGACCTCTGTGAGTTCAAGGCCAACCTTGAACAGAGTTCCAGGACAGTGAGGGCTACACAGAGAAACCCTGTCTGGAAAAAACGAACACACAAAAGGCCAGCTTGAGATACAAGAGACCTTGTGTCAACAATAACAGCAACAAACATCAAAATCAATCAAACTGAAGTCCCAAAGGGGGGAAAAACAGCCCCACCTGTCTTAGAGATGCCACAAGGCTGAGTGAATTTCCAAGATTGTAGAGATGGAAAGTTATGGGTCCGGAGCCAAATTAACTTGCGCTATCTTGAGTACAAGCCAAGAAAGCTACTTCCCAAAGCAGCACACAGATCTGGTCTAACACACACGTCTCCTGAGTAGCTTGGAGAAGCTCGAGATGTTGGGGGGCTGGGGGGGGCAAAATCAAGAGGGAAATGTTAAGAAAAAAAAAGCTAAAATTTGATACTTGATAGTCGTGTTTGTTGTCATTTGGCAAAATCTAGAATCATCCTAGACGATGGGCCCGAGTATGTCTGTGAGGGATTACAGTGACCCGCAAGACGCCCCTGCAGTGGGAAGAGAATCCTGAACAGTATAAACACGGCGACAATGAGCTGAACACATTAAAAACGTGGTGGTGTGTGCAATCCCAGTGCTGGCAGGCAGGAAAAGTGGAACTTGAGGGCTTTCTTGTCTGCCGCTTAGCCTAATTGGTTGGTCATCATTGAGACTCAGAAAAAAAACCAAGGTAGCTTGCTCCTGGGGAGTGACAGCTGAGGCTATTAACCCCTGGCCTCCGCAGGGAGCTGCCACACCTGTGCTCACACGCACCTCCACATCCACAGGTACACACGAAGACTGAAGTCAAAGCAGCCGTTATGGCCGGTGGCAAGCTTCCAGTTATCCACTTGGAAAACCACGCCCAATGAAACTCGCATCGCATGAGTATTTGTTATCCAACCAATTCTGACATCGTAGTGAGACAAAATGCGTCCACGTTTCGGACATAGTTTCGCTCTGGGAAGGATGATGCGGGAAGGTTTGAGGCCAGCTGGGGCTACGCGTTTGTTCTCGGGTCAGCCTGATCTACATAGGGAGACGCCACCCAGAAATCCAAAAGGGTCACCGAAAGGCTGGGATGGTTAGCGTCCACCACCACGTCAGATGCCTACTGACTCAGGTTAAATTAAAAATTGGCAATAGAAAGTCTCCGGAGTAACCTCAGTCAGGCCAGAAAACCATCGAGGAGCACCCGGACAGATAGCTCCCCGCTCACTTCCGGTTGCGCACTTCCGGCGACGCTACACGAGCTCCCACCACGCGAGACTTTCGGTACCGCAGCATCGCTGTGGTTCGGCGGCTGCGCTCGCTCATGCGGCTGGAGGACCGGTAGCGATGCTCCCCGGAGACTCCCCGGGACCGTGGGCCTCCTCAGAGCAACTTCCGGCCATCCTGTCCCGTGGAGCTCCCGCGACACCTCTCGTCGTGGCAAATGCGGTGACGCCCACGTACTGGGCAACAGGACCGGAAGGGCGGACTTTGACTGTGGGGCCTCCTACCCATCCTTCCGTAGGCGCCGCCCTCGACGTGCCTAGCCAATCGAAAGCCACGTCCTGTCGCAACAGCCAATCGGAGAGGCCCGGAGCCTTTAAGGGCCTCCGTGGGCCGCAGCTTTGCCTCTGTCGCCGCTCGGAAGTTCTTTTGTTCGCCCTCTGTGTTGTTTCTGGCGTCTGCACCTGCTCGCGTGCCATCCGTCGCCATCGCCCTTTAGGCCAGTATAGTAATGGGTAGTAGAGAGGAGACCTGGCCTTGGCGATGGTGGCGCGCGCTCTGGATGACCGATCGGAGATCGGCGCCAGGGCCCGGGTAGGGACAGTAGTGTTGCGGACCGCGCAGGGACAGAAGAGTGATTTCAGCCCTTGCCTCGTGCATTCCTTTGTAGCTGGCTGGATGCATTTGGAGGTGGCCTGGCGCCATGTATGCGATACCACACGAGCTTGACCGAGCGTGCCACGCTATCATAGATTAGCGAACCATTTGCTTCGATGAGGTAAGATCTCTTGGGCCCTCGCAGCCTCCAGTGCGGTGGCCGCTGCTCAAGAGCGGAAGCATAGAGAAAGGAGGGCGGATATTTTTCGGGGTTGGGAGTGGACCATCGTGGATAGCTTTCGGGATTGAGAAGGTTTTAGAACAAAACAAGTTACCTTTTACACTTTCCGGAATGAAAAAGCCGGCCAGCTGAAGGCGTAGTTTATTGTCGTTCTCAAGGAGATCCTTGCGTATTCATTAGCTCTTTTCTAAATCGTGTTGTAGGCCAGCTGTAGAAGCATGTGACGTTTCATTGCTTAAAGAGAGCTCATGAACCTGGTGCTGGGGCAGGCATGGCGTGAGCGTTTGCTTGCCCGGTTAAGATGCTGGGCCTTGCATCAGGTTTTGCTTTTTTAAGTGAGTTATTCCCCTCCCAGTTAACAGTGTGTAGTCTCACAGAAGCAGCTTTCAGGACATGTTTCAGTATTGCAGTACTGCGATTCAAAGCTATCATCACCCTATAGAGACACCTTTTTTTTTTCTGTAAGCCCTAACTACTTGTTCTGTCGCTTAGGACCGACTGCGCGCCCCCAGTGGAGTGCTTTGACTAAGCACAGTTAATGTGGTTGGTTCTGGAGATTGAATCCAGGGCTTCATGAACACTAAAAAGTACTCTAGTACTCTAGCCCAAAGGATCTCCATTCTTGTTCACTTTGTCCTTAGAAGCAATTCTGTCCATATGGATTACATGCTCTGTATATTCCAGATAGATGGTACATAGGATTCTTGTGGCTGGCTTTTCCTGTAAATTGTTGAGTTTACCCTTCATGTTGCTGCCAAAGTGTAACCTTGTTTTCTTCTCAGGTTCCTGCCCCCCCCCCCCCATTTGCTACCAAGCGAGAGTAAAATTTCCATTTTTGTCACATGTTTATAGGTGTGAAGGGGTAGCTTTGTAGTGCACCTGCACCCTCTCCCCAAAGAAGCTTGTAAGAAAGAAACCTATGAGAAGCAACTTGAGGCAGGTGAATCCAAGTTCCCGGCCAGCCTGTCTCACAAACACCCAAAGATGAATTTCTTTTCTTGGCACGTGCTGTAATGTATGTTTCAGGTAAGGGAAGTCTTAACATAGCCTGTGGGGAGGGCATTTGACCATCTGGCATTGCATAAAATTTTGGGATCAGTTTGTAGCATAGTGAGCTAACAAGCTGTGCTCATTGAACGAGGACTAGTGGGATGGCTCTGGTGAGAAGGCCTCATGTCACGATCAGTCTCACCCCATCCACGTAAAGGAGGGAGGGACAACTGCTCAGCCCAGCTCACAAGTAGTCACACAGACTAGCTGTGAAAACTAGTTAGGCTTCTCCCTAACTAGTTTCTGTCTCATGTCGCCTGGAGACTCCACCCTTCTTCCCAGCATTCTCTGTCCTAAAAATCCTTCCTAGCTATTGGCTGTTCTGCTTCTTATTAAACCAGTTGGAATTATACATTCAGTGTACAACGGTTATTCCACAACAGAACTGATTCAACATTTGAATCACGGGACATGTGTGCCCTCCCCACAAGACAGTAGAGCAATTTTTAAAGCCGTAGTAATAACAAAAATCCTCATTTCAGGAAGATGAAGCATTTGTCCGAGGATTTATGGAGAGTGATGAGGCTGGAGTGGACTTGAGAACGTGTGGAAGCTAGTCTGGGCTACATAATTAGTTATGTTGCTGGTCTTGCAAAGGGTTTGTTTCCAGCATCTATATAGCAGTTTGCAGTCGCCTGTAACTTCAGTTCCAGGGGATCTAGCACCTGGCCTCTGGGCATTGATCATGCAGGTAGTACAGAGATGAGAGCTATAAACTAGAAAGGCTTTTGTGTACAGGTTACAATTGAAATTTTGAGAAACGATTAGTACATAAATACCTTTGTTACAAGTATGGAGGGCATGATGTGCTGGCGGGTGCTGTGACATCTTTTTGGTTTTTCGAGACAGGGTTTCTCTGTGGCTTTGGAGGCTGTCCTGGAACTCGCTCTTGTTGACCAGGATGGCCTGAAACTCACAGAGATCCACCTGCTTCTGCCTCCCCAGTGCTGGGATTAAAGACTCAGTTCAGCTGAGGATAAAACATACAAATAGGCCTGTGGGGCCATCTCATTCAAACCACCTAGGCTAGAGGGTTTCAGAAGTACGATAGGATACTAAATGAAGGAGGGGGATTCAGCTGAGCAGAAGGCCAGGTTAGCACCTGCAGGGCTTAACTGGGAACTGCTGCTGTGGATCTCCTAGAACAGGTCTGACTCACTGCTGAATGTTCCTGATCTCTCATCTGGATTTTGACGACATCCCTGTGATTATTAATTACAAGTGGGGAGCTGCAAAACGTTTCCATGTCATAGACCCAGAGGTGTCTGCCCCAGATACTCCGATTACTTGCAGATCTTCATCATGTGGGTTTGGTCTCTCCCTTTTCCTCTAGTAGCTTCATATCCGATGATTAAACCTTTCACTGCTGTTCACATCATGAGCCGCTGTGATTACTGAGGAATTAATGAGGATATGTAAGCTCTGCTAAGTGCACTGTTGCAACAGGCAATGTCCTTTGTTTGGTGAATTAAAAAGGAAATCTCTTTTTCAGGCATCATGTTCTTGGTGAGTTTGGAAGAGATGTGGCTTTGGAAGATGACGTGAAATACACAGGAAAGGTATAGTCCTGTTTTGTGTGTTAAATATTCTTGGAGATGCAACTGACCTAAAATAGATTATGCAAGTAAAACTAGAATTCTAAAGGCATGATGAAATCTTACAAATTTTTGGAAGAGTGACAAAATTTTTTATTTGTGTACGTGCTGGTGTATGGAGGTTAAGAGAACTTAATTTCTTCTGTGACCTTAGTCTCAGGTATCCAACATGGGTCTTTATGTTTGCACGACTTCTCACAGTGGCTCTATGCTGGCTTGGTTGGAGGGTTACTGCTGTGCTGTGCCTGTTGCATATCTGCTCTGTGGTCGGATTCCTGGCTAGTTCTCTTAGCACGCCCCATGTGTCCTGCTGTAACTCGATAGTCACAAGCTTTCCTGCTGCTTTTCTTTGTTCTAGGCTTAGATTGTCCTAATCCTCTAAACTTTTACATTTTCCTTTCTGGATGTATGAATTGAGCCTCTTATTAAAATAAAGTCAGTGTTTCAAAGTGAGAAAAGGTTACTTTCTCTCTGCGTCAGGGACTCAGGGATATAGCTAGGTATCATAGGCTTATTGATTGTCCTGACTTGAGAAGAGTGCGTCAGCTTCCAGACTCACGTGCTAACTTCACACGAACCTCTTTATGGCTGTAGCTGCTGGTGTTCCCTGAGGAAAAGGCCAACGTAGAAGAATGTCTTTTAAAACGTGGTTTAGGAAGTCTGCTGTATCTGATTGTTACAGAGGCTGTAAAAGGTCAGGGCAGTATCTTATTTAAGATCATAAAAGTTTCCATTTATTTGATATTTAAGCATTTGGATGTAGTATTTGAATCTGGTAAATGAATATAAGAGTAAGTAATTGAATCCTTTCTTTTTAAAAACAAAAAAACCCTATTTTTCCTTGTGAACCAAATTCATGTGTGATACCTGAGGCCAAAAAGGCCCATTAGATTCCCCCTGGAACTGTAGTTAGAGGTTGTGGGCCATGTGACTGCTTGGCATCTATGTCTCAACTGAGTCAGCCCGGTCCCCCATCCCACACCCTTCTCTTCTCTCTTGCTGTGACTGTCCCAGAACTCAATATGTAGACTAGGGTGGCGTGAAAAGTTCCTTGTTGGTCCATCCCCCATTTCCTCCTAATTTTGGGGGTAGCTGGTAGGAACTAGACTAATACAAAATTAGCTATCTTCATGCTTAGTGTATTTTGGGGTGGGACTATGGCTCAGTTATACAAATATTTAACATTACTGATGTGTTGACATTTCCCTCAAAGCTTGATGTATGTACAGTGTGGTACTTGTCCTTCCTTGCTGCTTATTTGAGCCTTCCTGGGCACTGGATTCTCTTCATGAACAAGATGGACTCATGAAGGAACTCCCTGTTCTATAGAACACTATTAATCGCGTTCTTTAAAGGGACAGAACTGATGGAATAGATGGCAAGGTGAAGTTACTAGGGGGCCTCAGACCAGCATGTGTACAGGCAGACCATTCTTACATATAATGTAAGATGATTAATGAGTAAATATGTAACACTTAAAGTACAGAATAAGTGGTTTTATTACATATTTCCATTTCAGATAATTTATTTTTGTCATTTTGTTTTTTGCTTTGGAGGTGTCCTGGAACTTGCTCTGTGGCCTCAAACTCACAGAAAGACATTAGAGAATTGGTGCTTATTTACATTTTAAAGGGCCAGGCAACAGAACAAAACATACCTCCAGTAGAGTTTAAGAATAAAGCAAACACATGGTAGTGATTAGTTTTCTCCTGCTGTTCACAGCACAACTTGTGATTAATGATGTATGTGAGGATTTTTTTTGCAAAACCATGACTTTGTGTAATTTCTGTGTTTGTCTATTTTTTTGTAGGAAAGAAGTAAAAGGATGTTTTACTTGAGTGTGCCATTTGAAAGTTCATTCAGTAATTTGAAGATTTATATAAGGTAAGGGATTTTTTTAAGTTATTAGTCAGGAACTTCTAAGTTCCTAGGCTGTCTTCAGTTCCAATGATGCTTCAGCCTTTCAGGTACCTGGGATTTCAATGATTGCAGGGTTGGTTTTTCCCTAGATCCCCTCTTATGCATAGAAAAACCTTGAGGGGACACAAGCAGTAGGTAGGACATTGCTAGTATCAGTGTAGCCAAACCTTTGGCTGTGTAAGGGCTAGTAACTGTTCTGCCCTGGTGTCATCCATATTGTAACTTAAGAAGTGGGGTGGGAGAGGAACACCCCATGGAGAGGGTTTTTTTTTTAAATGGGGGAAGGAGTTAAGAGATAGGAGGATGGGAGGTAGGCAGAGCTCTTTTAAAAGGGAGCACAGTGAATATGCACAGGTGGTGCTCTTAGTGGCTGTAGCTGAGGGCATATTCTGTCAGGACCCCAAGGATAGGCCAGTACAGATGCCTGAATACTAACAATCCATACCTGGGCATCTTTATATGTGGGAGAAAGCTTATGTGTAACTCCTCCAATAAGACCTCACCTCTGGTAATTGGATTAGGAACCATTGCTGGAATGGGTATGGGTGTAGAGCTCTAGCCTCTTCAACCTCTTAGCATTAGTTTTTGCTAATGACCATGCCAGACCAAATGGACTGGTGTTTTACAAATGGGCCTAGAGGGAGGGAGCTAGACCTGACTGCTGAAGGGGGACACTAACTTTCTTAATGAAGAATGCCATTCTGTGTAAACAAGTCAGGAATAAGCAGGTATGACCTGACAGTTCAAAGGGGAGACAGGAACTAACACCCTTTCCTGATAGCACTCCTGTTTGCCTGCATCCTTAGTATGCCATCCTGATTCGTTTCTTCTCACCTACAAAGCATAAAACTCTAGGTTCTTCTCACGATCAGTGAATATGTAAGAAAATTATGCCTTACAAAAGAGGGCACATTGGGAGCTGGGTGATGGTGACTCACACCTTTAATCCCAACACTTGGGAGGAGAGGCAAGCCGATCTCTGTGAGTTCAAGACCAGCCTGGTCTGTAAAACTATACAATCAAAAGGGGAGGGGGCACACTGGAGTTAGTGAGAGAGAACACTAGAATCACTTAGGAAGCAAAACCATAATCTGTGAAACCTTTGTTTCTACCAGTGATGGAAAAGTAAGAAGACCTATACCAAACAGCCTATAAATGCTGCAAACCAGTCTCTTGGAGATGCTTCCCCAAGAGCATGTCAGTGCAAGTAAACACTTATCATTCATCCTGCAGGGCTTGCTCAGACTGGTGTCTCTCTTTCCTGCTAAGGAAAGTGCTCCTCACACAAGCCTGAGGACCTGAGCTAAAATTCCTGGGGCCCATGAGTGGAAGATGAGAGCGGACTCCTGAAAGTGTCTTCAAACTACACATACACAATAAGAAAAATCAACATAGTAAAGCTGAAACATTAGAATGCTGCTGTTTTATTGAAATGGAAACATGGTACAAGTGATTATGGAACAAATTCATTCAGCACCTTCTGACAGTTTTGTACAAAACTTTACCCTCTTCTAAAATGAGAAAGCAATTAAAATCTTTCATTTTCTTTTGTAAAAGTTTATTTCTGATGGTATGTTGCGCAGTTGTGAGCTGCCTGAGGTGGGTGCTGTGAGCAACATGCTCTCACACGTACCGTGTCATTTCTCTCCCCCAACTTTTGTGAATTTGAAATCATCTGTATTTTGGGAAAAAAGCAAAAGGGAGCTGTGCTGTAATGTGACTGTTGCCAGTGAAAATGAACTAATGTCTGTTGCTACCTGGTCGAGGGCTAGCCCAGACATAACCTGTTGAGAAGTGTCCTCGTTACATTTCAGGAACCATGCCAACTAGGGTGGCTGCCCAATAAAACTGGGTAGTTTGTCTTCACAGATCCAATTCTACTGCTGTCTGACTGATTCATTTTTTTTTAGTATACTTAATAAACATCATTTTCTACTATTCTGACTTGGGTAAGTTCTTTTACTACCTGCTACTCCAAACCATAGCGTTTGGTGGCCCAAGAAGGGGAGTGGAGAACTCAAAACTCAGAATTAGGACTCCCCTTTTAGTTTCCTTAGCTAGGAGTCCTAACTCCTTCATGGCCTGTGGTCAGGGCAACATTGGCTTTGAAAGGTGCCCAGATGTTGTTACCATCACTCCTAAGGTTTGGGGGCCAATGCCCCTGGCCTTTGTAGGAGAATGTTGCTGGTAGAGTCTGCTGTGTCCAAGGGTTAAACTGCCCTGCCTTTGCTGGTAGAAGACCTTCCTTTGTCAGGCAGCATATCCAGAGCAAATCTGCACATCTTTACTTTCTCAGGCTTTTCTGGAGTTGGCAGCCCAGCCACTGAGAAGAAGCAGGATAATCTGGTTACCCTACTGAGGCTATATCTCCAAAACTCATAGTTTTTGTCATCCTAGGATTTCTTCATGACATCTGATCCAAGAACTGGGAAACCTTAGGTTTCTTGTTATTTAGCTCTTGTCAGGAGTTTTCAGTAAGATGAAACCATCCTTTAGGGATTGTACCAGCTCAGCCTGAAAAGGCTAGAGGACTGAGAAAGACAAAAAGATAATAGAGTTTAAAGGTTTGGGCCCTAATAGTAATTAGGGTCACTTTAATACCCTAGGGGTCAGGCCACTTCTATTGTAGACTCATTGAGATGTTTCTGGAGTTTCCTTAAAATACCATCATGTTACCACTGGGTGGCGGTGGCTGGCGCAGGCCTTTAATGGCAGCACTCCAGAGGCAGCTGGATCTCGGTTCCAGGCCAGCCCTGTCAACAGAACAAGTTCTAAGACAGCTTCTAGAACCCGGGCTGTGTTGGCGTACGCCTTTAATGGCGCACTCCGGAGGCAGAGGCAGGCGGGCTGCTGTGAGTTAAGAGACCAGCCTGGTCTACAATAGCTAGTTCCAGGACAGTCTCCAAAGCCACAGAGAAACCCTGTCTGGAAAAAATAAAACTGTCTCAGAAAACCAAAAATAAAGTGCAACAAGCTTTTCCCCACAATACAAACTTAGGTCCTAGGTCTGGTTATTTTCCTATTAACAGGCTGCTTGATTATGTTCCTTAACTCATTGAGCAGTGCCATAAAAACTTTGTTTTCTTGAGTTTCAGCCCAAACTGGCCTTAAACTCACCAAGTAGCAGCTGAAGATGATTTCAAACTGGTCTTTGCGCCCCTACCTCCCACGTACTGGCATAGGCTTGTGATACTATGCCCATCTCTTAGAAATTTTAAGACTCCTGTTTAGCCTCTTTCTCTTTGTTGTACCCCTGAATTACTCATCTGTATTTAACAAAAATCAGTGAAGCCTTAGGGTTCAACAAAACAACCAGCTGTAGAATTTGTTCTTCCTAAGGTGCCATCTTTCTGGTCACACTTGGCCCCTTGAAGTCAAGGTGCATAATGAGCCCCATACCAGTCTTACCAGCTAGATAAAAATCTATTTTAAAGGGCCTCCCAACAGTCTTGTCAGTCTGAGGGAATTTATTGACCCAATCAAACCTGGGAAGAGTAGTTCTCACTAGAAGTCAGACACTCTAACTCCACTTCATATACTTGGAACTACACTATGATAATCCTACTATAAACAGGTCTGACCAATGAAAATCTCCAAACCTGAAAACTGGGCACCCCAGCTTCCCCAAACCCAAATAGGCTCAGTCCTAAAAGCATGTAAGTTAATTGGGGGTCTAGGTTAGGACCCCATTCAACCTACACTGGGCTGGAACTTTGTATATTCTACCTTTGGCTCCTAGGAGCTGCCTTGTGCTTCCTTTTCCAGACATTTCCGGAGGCGTTTTTAAATAATCTGGACTATTTGTTGAAATCCTGAGGACCCTGTGTGCTTCCTTTGCCAGACTGCACTATCTTTACTCCTAACCCACAGGACACAAGTAGCCTGGCACCTGTCCTTCCTGGAATTTAAGTCAGGAAAATGTACCCTTATTGTGTACCCCTGTCAGAGTGAAACCTGGTCCTGTTTATTGTTGGGACCTCAACCCTTACCATAGGCACAGAAGTGGGCTTCTGGACGCCACTATTACTGCCCCTAATCTCCCTGGGACTTAGAAATAATTATTCTACCCCAAGAACTTTTAGCAATATAGCAAATCCAATTGAAAGCAACAGTTAAACAAAAGGACATCCCCCCATCATAGCTGTGGTTCCTTAAGATCTGCTCAAGATCAAGCCAGCCAACATTCTAGCATGGAGGGGGGAGCAGGGGAAGTCTCACAAGCCTCCACGCTGAGGAACTAGACAACTGAGGGTTGCTGAGGGAGTCAGTTTTATTTAATGCTTTGTCCCTTGGTAGGTTGGCCATGCTCCAGTGCATGACCCCACACCTGTTCCTGCCTTGCCTTACCATGGTAATGGATTGTGACCTGTACACCAAATAAATCCTTTCCTCATAAAAAGAGAGCAGCAGTTACATTGCACAGCTTAACTGCAGGGACCCCACCCTGTTATAGGAAGAATATTGCTCGTGTATCAGCAAATCTTGAATACAACTGAAACTTCAAAACATCAAATGCACTGCTCAGAGATAACCATCCTAGGTAGCTTTCTGTCAAGGACCACTTATGGCTGTTTGCATCTTATATCTGATCCTTATTTATTTTTATTTTTTTAAGTCAGCACACAATAGGCTCCAGTTTGATGTTTTCAGGTTCCTATATTTTTTGACCTATTTGTCATATTCATCTCTAGGATCCAGCGATTTTAGGCCCAGGTGACTTTCAACATGGATTCCAGCCAATATCCTCAAAGAATGAATTAACAGTAGGCCCTTTCAAATGGGCCACGAGGATTTTCTTGACAGTCATTCTCAACTGTCCCTTTATGACTGCTCTGTCATCCCTTGACAAGTCAATGGGAAGTATGGGCAGTGTTAAGATTTCATGCAGGGGTGGAGGCATGGCCTGGGGGTTAAGAGCTAATAATGTTCTTTCAGAAAAACCAATTTCCATTCCCAGCACCCACAAGGATGAACTGACACCTCTGGCCTCTACAGGTGCCTATGTTCAGTATCCACTCCACCCATAACTAAAAATAAATCTTTGAAAAGAAAAAAAAAACCAATTCCTGCTGCCTGAAACTCCAGAAGAGACCTCCTAAACTGCCACAATTGTCCTAGAACAGGCCTCTAGGTGTGTAGGACATGTGACAGCAATGCCACGGAGACCAGCTCTTGTACAGAGAATGTGAACCAGTTGAGTTGGACTTGCTCTATTTACATCACAGGATCCAAAGAGCTGTGTGTGGCAGGCATTTCTGCTACTGCTACTGCTCCCAGAGAATTTTACACCTGTGACCCCACATGTCACATGGGGGTGGGCTACCATTTCCTCAGGCAGTAAACTTGAAGTAAAATACATATGTGAGGCACTGAAGGTGAATTAACAACATTTCCACTTTCTGGTACTTAGGACTACTGGCTTGTGGCTAACGATGGAACAGAACCTTGTGTATGCTGTGCAGAAGCTCTCATAAGTATATCCTCGGCCTGTAGGGACAGGGTATCACCATGTAGTTCAGGCTGGCTTCACACAATCCTGCTTCTGCCTCAAATTCAAGCTTGCTCATAGTTTGGGCTCAATAAAGAAGCATTACTTGGTGGAGTGGTGGTGGCACACGCCTTTGATCCCAGCACTCAGGAGGCAGAGGCAGGCAGATTTCTGTGAGTTTGAGGCCAGCCTGGTCTAGATCAAGTTTCAGGACAGCTGAGGCTGCACAGTGAAACCCTGTCTCTGAAAAACAAAAACAAGAAAGAAAAAAAACCCTTTATTTTAAGGAAGCTAAGAAAAGAGTTGGTGTGGTTAATAAGTAGTTAGGGGCCCTCAATCTAGTACAGTCCAGGTGCTAATGTGTTATAGCAAGTGGTTTTCCTGTGGCTTGATTTCACTGATTAAAATAATGCCTCCTTAATTAAAAAGTAGCCGGAGGCAACACATCTATAAAGATTGCAGGCTCTAAGGAAGATAGTAACATCCCTTTATTTGAAGTGTTTAGGACCATAGGAACGCAGCCTCGTTTGTTTAAAAAATGAATTTCAGCACCCAATTTCTGTTTGCTTCACTTGTTTTATGTGTCGAGTGCCCATTGTGTATGTAGGTGCCCCACGTACATTGCTGGAAGCCAGAAGAGAGTGTAGGACCTTCTGGAACTGAAGTTACAAATCGTTGTGCATTGCCTTATGGTGCTGGGAAATAAACCCACATATTCTGCAAAAGCAGCAAGTGCTCTTAACAGTTAAGTCGTGTCTCCACGACTTCGATATCATATATATGTGTGTGTGTGTGTGTATTGTTGTTTTTTGTTTTGTTTTTCGAGACAGGGTTTCTCTGTGTTGTTTGGAGGCTGTCCTGGAACTCTGTAGACCAGGCTGGCCTTAAACTCACAGAGATCCACCTGCCTCTGCCTCCCGAGTGCTGGGATTAAAGTTAGCGTGCTCCACCAACGCCTAACTGCTATCATATATTTTGCTTTGCTTTTTGAGCAGGCTCTCCTGCAGTGCACGGTGACCTGTCTGAACTATGTAGCCTTGAATTCCTCCTCTACCTCCTGAGTGTGGCCTTATCCATGAGCTGTGAAGCCCAGCTCAACACCCATTTCATTCTTCTCTTTTGCTCCACAGATCGGCTTCTGCTACACTTTTCAATTACCAGATTATACTCAATTGAAAATATCTAATGGCTCGATCCTTTCTCTCTCTCACTCAAACACACAAGGCAGCTTCACTTTTCAGTTACTAGTTTATACCCCTAATTTAAAATATCAACTGCTCGAAATCTGAAAGGCACACACACAAGTTTCAAATTAGGGTGCCACTTTGTCCCAGTGGCCTAGGGCGAATGCTAATAGGTCTAAATGCCACGGACAGATATTGAAATATTAAGGCTACCAACTGCATTTGATAGAACTCACAGGATCTAAGACTCTGTACTACAAGTAATCCCTTTGGGTGTGCGATAAATTCACGTACATTCTCAAAAGACAAACGCAGGCCGCACGGCTTTAATCCCAGCACTCGGGAGATAGAGGCAGGAGGATCTCTGTGAGTACGAGGCCAGCCAGGTTCACATACCGAGTTCCAGGGCAGTCGGGCTACACGAAGAAACTATGTCTCTAAAAACAAAACACAACGAAAAGAACAAGAAGGCAAACGTAGACCCAATAGAGAGCCGAGCCACAAACTCAACCAGCTTGCCCAGCTTTCGCGCTGTCGGCCGGGTGTGGCCAGCGGCTGCTGACGCCTCACAGGAGAGCTACGTGGCGCCCCGCGGTCACCGCCGCTCTTCCCTGGGGGAGACGCCCAGCGGAACTTGCCCTTGATCCACCGCCAAGCGGCCGCATCCCTACACAGCGCGCCTCCTCCAAAATCACGTCCGACTACCTTTCTCCAGCTCGACCGGCCTTCGGAGCACTCTGCTCCCGGAAGTACCGCCCCGCCGGGTGGGAGGAGCGAAACGCGGCTCCCGGAAGTTACGGCCGGCAGGGTGGGCGTGGCGAGTCGCCGCACCCGGAAGTGGCGGCCCGCAGGCGGGGCTGCGGCTGCCACGTTGGAGCGGATCGTGGAAGTGGCCCTGGGCCGCGGAGGAGGGGCGGCGGCGGCGGCGGGTGCGGGGAGAGTCCGACGGTCGCCGGCTAACGCAGGACGGACAGGTCGCCGAGGTCCACCAGGTGTGTCTGCCGTTTGTTTCCTGCCCCTCGCCAGGTTCGGAGTCCGCTGCCGAGGCCCGAGGCCCGCTCTCCGCTGACGGCGCGCCCCTGTCTCGTTTCGGCCCCGCCGGGACAACGCCTGGAGTCGCCGCAGCCGGGTGATCGAGCCCGTCATCCTCCGCCAACGTTTCGAGGTTGCCCTGCTCCGGAGTGAGTTTGAGGTTAGGACCCTTTAGAGTCTGTGCACAAAGAGAGAGGTGCGATCCCCAAGGGTGAGGAAGGGAAACAGACCTCAGGATTGTTTCTTTGACTTCAGTTAGGTAGAGGTTTATTTTTTTTTTTATTGTGTTTGAACTGTTGCCAAATGTGAGGGTTTACCGATGGGAAACGAAGACTACTGTCATTTAACTGCGATTGTATTATTTAGAGTCAGCAGTCGCCAATCACAGCCTAAACCTTCAAAAGTGTATGCTTTTACCTCTGCTGTTATATTGAATTAAACTGTGAGGCATTTGTAAAATAATTGCCTGGACTTGTGGGTGTATAAACTTTTTCTGTGAGCTTGTAGAACTAATTCTGCAGGGTGTTTTTTTCTTTTTCTTTTTTTCTTTTTTGAAGTTGCAGGAGTGTTTTTGTTGTTGTTGTTTTTGTTTTGTTTCTCCAAATTGTTAAACTCTAGAAAGCCGGCACTTGCTGCTTTTGTTTACAATTGTAACTGTTAAATAAATGATTAGAAGCTTGCTCTTTTCCTTTAAATCCTGATTATCCAGAAGGTGGCTAAAATTTACTGCCCATTTGAGTAGTTCTGTCCTTGTTTCTCTCTTAATTATAGCTCCTAGGAAGATTTGTAGATTGAAAACCTTTGGATAATTGCTGTCTAATTGTGAATATGTTACACGTATATGGAGTTTGCAACTGTGAGATTTGAGATGCGTTTTGGATTTTACCCATTAGTTTTATGTAAACAGGTTCTTTCCTGAAACATGTAAGAGTAGACAGACATTTGTAAACTGCAAAAAGCAGTGGCTATCAGTCTTGGTATTTTTATTCCCCCTTGAAAGCATTGGGCTATCATCCTAGAAAAACATGTTTACACTGTAAGCTCATGCCTGGGTAGAATTTTCTGTGTAATTTCATGGGGTTCGAAAATTCCACATTAAAAACTTGTAACGTGATACTGTTAAATTAATTTCCTTTTGTTTCTTTCTCTCTTCTTCCCTCCTTCCTGCATTCTTTGCGATAGGGTCTCATGTGGCCCAGAGTGGCCTCAGACTCTCAGAATAGCCAAGGATGACCTTGCATTCTGACCCTCCTACTCTTAGCTCCCAAATTCTGGGATTTCAGGCATGTATCACCACACTAGAAGTGTTTCCTTTTTTGTAAGTTACTTTCACCTACTAAGGTTTAATCTTGTATATCATTTAGTTCAGCAACCAAGGCATGGTTGGTTTTTGACGTTGATTGAGTGAGGTGAGCCTGGAGAACAAATATTCCTGTCCTTAGTGAGATGTGCTGTTGTCCACATGCACGTTTACTAAAAATAGTGCCAGTAAAGGATTTGTATTCCTCACTAAGAGTCAAAGGTGTGGAGGCCATTACCTCTGACCTCTTCTCGCTTTCCGAGGTATGGGGTGGCTTCATAGTTGCAGAGTTACTACTGTTGACAGAATAATACTGTTGGGTTTTCATATTGCTTCACAAAACTTGCAATTTGAAAATCAGTTTAGGCCTGCCCTTCCTAGTACCCAAATCTAGCTGCTCACAATCACCTCTAATTACAGGGCCATGGCATGTGACTCCTGGCTTCTGCAGGTACCTGTAGGTACACAGACACAAGCACACATAAGAATAATTTTAAAATTAAGGACACCAGTGGAAAGAAGAAAGTTTTCACTTAAAATAAGTTCTTGTCTGGAACAGAATGTTCCTCAGATGTTATGTTTTGGTCTCTTTTTTATTGAGGGAAGTGAAGAAACACAGGGCCTTGGTGATTCTAGGTTTGTATTGTGAGCTGTATTCCCAACTCTTGGTTTTTTGTTTTGTTTTATTTTTTTAGTTTTTTTTTTTTTTTTGAGACAGGGTTTCTCTATATAGCTTTGAATGAAGCCTGTCCTGGAACTAGCACTCGTAGACCAGGCTAGTCTCGAACTCACAAGAGATCCACCTGCCTCTGCCTTCTGAGTGCTGGGATTAAAGGTGTGCACCACTACTGCTCAGCTCTTGATTTTTTTGGAACAGGATCTTATCCTGGTAGCTCAGGCTGGACTGAAGCTGCTGCTCTCCTGCCTCTCAGCCCCCTTGGATTATATACCTCTGTGTGCCACCTTGCCTAGTACTTAGATGTATTCTTGAAGACTTGTTGGGATAAAACCTTTAAGTTGCAAATTGAGAGCAAGAAGCGTTCTTAATAGGTGTGCCTTTTCTCCAGGCCCTTCAAATTGTGGTTTTGAAATAGCTGTTGTCAGTGAGTTTTTATTTGCTGTGAGCTAAGCAATGTTCTAAACACTCTTAAAACCTCATTTAATTCTCCCAACATATGATGTGACTAGCTTTATGGGAGAGGAACAAAACACTTATATGCAGTGACATGAGATGGAGAGCCAAGACTTAGGCTGAAGTTTAAGCGCATAGGGTGTGCGTTCCAGACCTCAGTCTACCTGCTGTGCTGTAGGTCCTGTCTGGCGGGTGATTGATAGACGAACAAACCGCTGTCCTCGCAGTGCTCATTTCCTGGTTTTGCTAGGGCTGTATTCTGGGTAAAATGGTCTTGAATGAAACACTGATGTACAGCGTGAATACAGTCACAGTACAGAAAAGGTACACCAACTATTAAGATAAGTTGTAATTGGGAAGCATGCATGGCTTCATTTAACCCTTTATATTCTAAGGAAGTTATTTGTAATTAAATAACTAAACATTTCTGAGAGGGAAATACTGTATCTTTGTAGCATTATGGTAAGTCATGTTTAATTTGATTCAGAACTTATTGCAACCATGTTGTATTGTAACACGGGGTTTTCTTTCATAGCTGGCACTGACCCTGTGTTCTGTACAGGTTAATAAGGGGAACTACTTTTGACCAGAACCTTGAGTCAGACACATGTAGGAACGCTTTGCGTTTCTACTTATGCCCCTGTGGTTATCTCTGTTACACATTAACTAAACACTTTGGAATTAGGCAGTCCTTGTACTTTTGCTGTCAGAGATACTATAATTCTAGCCAAGATTTTTTTTTGGGGGGGCGGGGTGAGAGGTTGTTTGAGACATGGTTTCTCTGTATAGCTTTGGCTGTCCTGGAACTCACTCTAAAACTCACAGAGATCCGCCTCCCCCATGCCTCCAAGTACTGGGGTTAAAGGCGTGTGCTACCACCACCTGACCCAAACTCCAGCTTAAAAAAAAAAGTACATGCACACACACACACACACACACACACACACAAAACTGTTTTTATTTTTAGAAATCACTCTGAAATTAACCGTTCCCCACCTTGCCAGTTTTTTTTTCTGTTCTTAAACATAAAGAGATCCTTTAAGTAGTTAAAAATTGTAAAAGTTTTATCCAACTCTAGTCATTTTAGCTCAATCTGGGTTCCAGTACATTTGGTTTTTTTTTTTTTTTACTTACAAACATTAAAAATTGAAACAAAACTTTTGTATATTTCATACATACCTCAGGCCACCGTAAGCAAATTTGGACTGTTTACCTACCATACACGTGCTTTGTTTTGACTTGTTTTCTCTTTTAAGTGAGGGTCTCACTAGGTAGCCCTGGCTGTCCTGGAACTCACTATGTAGACCAGGCTAACCCTCCAGCTTTTTTTAAAGACAGGGCCTTTTATAGCCAGACTAGCCTGGGACTCCTGATCCTCCTGCTTCCAGCCACCAAGTGCGGAGATTGCAGGCCTGTGTCACTGTGCCCAGCTTACCTAGTATACTTTCTAAAGTGAATTTTTTTCCTCTTTTGGTTCTTTTGAGAGGGTCTCATACAGCTAAGCTGGGTGCACACTTCTGTGTAGTGGAAGATGGCCTTGAGCTTGTCATCCTCTTGCTGTGACCTCTGCTGTGCTGATCTTACAGGTGTGTGCCATCAAGTCTAACTTCTAAAATGAGTTTCTTCTCCTCTTAACTTCATTGTGCATGACAGGTGCATTGTCATTGTTTCTTCCAATATTAATACTTTTATTTTTAAATTAAAAGTTATGTGTATGTGTGTGAGTGCTTGTGTGCAGATAGAGTCAGAGGACCACGGGGGAGGGGTCAGTACTACCATGTGTGTCACAAGATCACACTCAGGTTGTCGGGTTTGGCATCAGGCACCTTTATCCACTGAGCTATCTTGCCAACCCTTCCTTAGCATTTTTTTTTTAAACCTAAAACTTTTTTATTGTTGTGGTTGAGTTGAAACAGGGTCCCATATGCCTAGTCTCAGCAGGAAGCAGCTGAAAGAGAGAATGTCCATGAGCTCATGATTGTCCCACTTCCTCTGGAGGGCTAAGACCGTAGGACCTCGTGTGCTGCCACCCATGGCACGGACAGGTTGATCCTAGGGCCTCTGGCTTGCTAGCTTGCTTGGCACTCTACCCACTCAGCTGTATTCCATTGGTGATGATAGAACAATTGAATATCCGACATATAGGTAGTTACAAACAAGCTTGGAGTTTGGAGTTCAGCTTCTGAGATCAGTCTTGGCTGTCTCTTTGGAGTTTGTACAAATTATCTAACTTCCTGCACCTTAATTTTGTCATTTGTAAAATCTTCAAGTGGATACAATTTGAATGCAAAAATTCAAGTCTGAAGTCTTTCTCTGGAGACTAATAAAAGGAACTCGATCCTCTGAAGAGCAGTTGGGAAGCTGACAGATGTGGTGTAGAGCATCGGTTCACCTGACGGTGGAGCAGAAGGGGGTGGGAGGGTCTGAGGAGAGAGTGAGTTAAGAGTCCAGTGATGGAGGAATTTGGTTACTCCAGCAGTGAGCAAAGAAGTGCAAGTAGGAGAAAGTAGATAGCTTCTGGGGTGGACTGCTGGTGTGCATACACACGCCCGTACATATGCATACACATATGTCCACATGCTCACACACAACATATAATACATATACACTTACATACACAATATTACAGATACTCATTTTGTAGACACGCACAAACTATATATATATACTATATATTCTTATACATATGCACAGACACTATGTATATAGTGTGTGCTTGTATATATGAAATCTCCAAATAATGGATTAAGACCAACCACATCTTTGCTATCTGTAACTTTTAAATGATTTAAGTTAGCCAAACAAAGAACTTCAGATTAGTTCTCCATGCACAATCTAAGTTTTTTACTATTTCCAGAACGGCTAGTGAAATCAAAGTGATTTAAAAGTGCACTTGTAAATGTATATGTAAAGGAAATTTTTATTTTTTGTTTTTGATACAGGGTCTCTGTATATAGCCCTGGCTGTCCTAGAATTCTGTGTGGGCTAGGCTGGCCTCGAACTCAAAACTCCATCAGGCTCTGCTCTCCTGAGTGCTGGGATTAAAGGCAGACTGTACGAATCTGTAAAGGTTTTTTTTTTTTTTTTGGTGTTTCAAGACAGGGTTTCTCGGTGGCTTTAGAGGCTGTCCTGGAACTCGCTCTGTAGACCAGGCTGGCCTCGAACTCACAGAGATCCACCTGCCTCTGCCTCCTGAGTGCTGGGATTAAAGGCATACACCGCCACCACCTGGCTTGTAAAGGAATTTTTTAAAGATAGAAAACTAGGTGTAATACTACATCTCTACATTTCCAGCATGTGGGAGGCTGAGGCAAGAGGATTACTTGAGCTCAGGAGTTTAAGACTAGGCTGGGCAGCATAGTGAGTCCCACTCTCAAATAACAACACAGTAAAGATACTGATCTCAGTATAAGACATACATGTGCCCATGCTAAAAGGTATTAAGGCTAGACTCCTTATAAAGCTAAAATTCATATTTGACATAGATTTCTGTGACTATGAACTAAATAGCTGTGTGATAAGAAGGTTACTTCCCTGAAGCTGAGGAGATACCAGGAGGAACAGACGAACACTTGAATCCCTTCCTGGTAGGAGGCTGGGGAATCTTTGCTGTGGTTCAGGATAGATAAGAAGACAAAAAGTATGGACATGAAAGACACTGAGATACAGACATGAAACAGTGAAACAGTTTAGACAAGAAAAGTGTTGATTAAGGTGTTACTCTGGACCCTGAAAAACATATCATGCCTTCTTTAGGACCATGTAAAGTTCGGGAAAAATCCTCGGTAAGTTCCATGTATATTGGAGGGAGGGAGCAGAATACGGATTTAGGTTAGGGAAGCTACTTTGAAGAATGCTATAGTGATAGACACACCTACTTATGTACTTGCCAGAGCCATGAGGTGTACCCTTGAGTGTGGAGCCTAGTGTAAACTGAATGGTAAGTCAGTGTTGGCTCATGGATTGAAATAAGTGTCCTAGATGTTAGAGGCAGGGGGTAGTTATGGTAATGTACTTGCTAATGCAGTTTTTATTTTAATGTAAACTGAATGGTAAGTCAGTGTTGGCTCATGGATTGAAATAAGTGTCCTAGATGTTAGAGGCAGGGGTAGTTATGGTAATGGTACTTGCTAATGCAGTTTTTATTTAATGAACCTAAAACTGTTCTAAAGCATAAAGCCTGTTTCTTAAACAAATATTGTTACTAGGTTTTATATGTTTTTGCTGTTGTTGTTTTGGGAGACACTGTCTCACTATGTAGCCTTGACGCTCGATATATAGACCAAGCTGGCCTCAAACTCACAGAGCACCCCCACCCTGGAATTAAAAGCATGTACCACCATACCCAACTATTTATTATACTTTAGTTTATAGGTATGTATATATGCCTAAATGTATATGTACCATGTGCCTATTGATGTCAGAGGAATAAGTTGGAGCCCCTGGAACTCGACTTAGAGTGTTTTGTAGCCACTATGTGAATGCTGGGAACTAACCCTGGGTCCTGTACAAGAGCAGCAAGTGCTCTTAACCACTGAGCCGTCTCTTATGTAAGCTTAGTCAGAAGATTAAATGTGATAGCCCAACTTTTTTACTTGGTGTTGTGATAATCGAAGGCCTTGGTTCAGTCTCTAGCCCCAAAAGAAAAGTAAAATCAGAAAAGAAAAAGGAAAATGGGTAAGTATGTATGAACCACAATCATAGCATGAGATAGCAGGTGTCATTCTACCTAGAGAGATACAAAGCAGATAATATACAGAGCTAGCATTTTTTTCACCTATTAAGTGGGCAAAAATCTAAAAATGTGGTATTTCTCTCCAGGCAGGCTTAAGAGCAGGAGTTGGTCATGCTACTTAGAGTGTAAAAAGATTCATTTTCTTTCTTTTTTTTTTTTTTGTTTTTTTTTGAGACAGGGTTTCTCTATTGTTTTGGAGGCTGTCCTGGAACTCACTCTGTAGACCAGGCTGGCCTCAAATTCCCAGAGATCCACCTGCCTCTGTCTCCCGAATGCCCCAGCAACGGCGTGCACCACCAACGCCGGCCAAAGATTCATTTTCTACAGAAGGCAATTGATGATACTTGTAAAAATTAAAATGGAACGTGTCTGTTTATTTTTGATGATGTATAGGTGTGTGCATATCTGTGTGTGGGTATGTACCTATGAGTGCGGGTAGCTGGGGAGGCATTGGATGCCCCGGAGCTGGAGTTACACAGTAGGTGGCTGTGAGCTGCCTCATACGGTGCTGGGAACCAAACTCATCCTCTGAACTGCTAAACCCTCTCTCCAGTCTTGGCATTTATCTTTAACCTAGCAATTTAGCTTCTAGACATTTATGACCATTCTTGTCCGGAAGTAACATAGATGTGTGGCTGTTTGTTTGAGCTTTGTGAAGATGGTGAACTACATAATTAAATTTATAATTAAATCATGGTTACTTTACAATAAGATAATATTCCCTGAAAATTTATTTATGGAAAAGTAACAGACGTGAAAAATATGACTTTAATGAGAATATATAAACAAGTGGCTTTAAATCTTTTTTTTGTTTTGTTTTGTTTTTTTGTTTTTCGAGGCAGGGTTTCTCTGTGGCTTTGGAGGCTGTCCTGGAACTAGCTATTGTAGACCAGACTGGTCTCGAACTCACAGAGATCCGCCTGCTTCTGCCTCCTGAGTGCTGGTATTAAAGGCGTGAGCCACCAACGCCGGTGGCTTTAAATCTTGAAGTGACAAATTTTTTTAAAGTTTCTGCTTTAATCTGTAGTACACCTGTTTCATTTTAAAATTAGTATTATCTTATTTTTCTTTACCTATTTATTATTCTCTGTGTGTGGATATTTTGCCTACATCTATATCTGTGCACTATATGTGTGTGTGTGCCTAGTGCCCATAGAAGGCAGCAGAGGATGTTGGATTCCCTGGAACTTGAGTTACAGATGATCATGAGCTGCCGTGTGTGGCCTGAGAATTGAACCTGTTCCCTCTGGGAGCACAGTCAGTGCACTTAACCACTGAGCCAGCTCTCCAGCCCTGTTGTTACTGTAGGCAGGATCTTATATGATCCATGTTTAACTTACAGTTCCAGTCCTCGGGCTTTGGTCTCTCACCTGGTCTGAAGTTACTGAATTAATTAATTAATTAATTAATTGAGGTGGGGTCTCACTCTGTAGCACAGGCTGTCCTGGAACTCACTGTATGGTTTCTGATGGCATTGAACACTGTATGATTCTCCTCCAGCTGTCTGAGTGCTGGGCTTATAGGCGTACATTATCACGTCTGACTGTAAGATGTTTTTAAAACCATTTTTTATCATTGAGTAATCCTATCCCAGAAAGATCCACCTTTATTATGTTGATTTCCCTACTCCTGATAGGGTGTCTCATGTCAGTTTGAAAAGGGCACATACAACTTTGGTTAATTTTTGTTTTCTTATTCTTTTTATTTTTTTAATTTTGAGACAGGGTTTGTCTGTGCAATAGTTCTGGTTCTCCTAGAACTTGCTTTATTGGCCGGGTTGGCCATAAACTCCCAGAGATCTGCCTGCTGGTGCCTTCTCAGTGCTGGGATTAAAGGCATGCACCACCATGCCCGTCACTTATATTTTCTTGCAGGGCATCTCACAGGCTGACTTTTTAGTTAAAGGACTATGCATTGAGCATCCTTAATTGAAGCATCTGAAGAGTTTCATATTTTGAAAGATCTTAAATTTTATACCTTGGCATGCTCCGCTGTAAGGTCTAGAAAATACTCCTTTATCAGAGAAACTGGAAATCTGAAGTGTGTCTGGTCCCTGTCATTTCAGCTGTATAATCTATAAAGAATTAGAATAATACAATATTTGTCCCAAAATAGTCCCATGGTTTATGTCTAATATTGAACATTTCCAACAAACAATACATTTGTGTTATTAGTACTTGGGTATTACTAATATTCTAGTGATTTTTAATCTGTTATGTGCTCAATATATTTCTCTGTCAAATGTTTGTTTTAGCAGAATGAAGTTAAAGGAAATAGATCGTACAGCTATGCAGGCATGGAGCCCTGCCCAGAGCCATCCCATTTACTTAGCCACAGGTAAGTTCAAAACAGAAGACAGTGGTTGGCTTCATCTCTGAAAAGCTTCCCGTTCTCCAGCAAGATACCTCCATCCTCCCTATCACTTCATATGGTGGCCTTCCTGTGTTCAGTGTGGAACTTCATAGCATTGGTCATGTGTGACACATGCAGTATCTTTTCCAGCGCCCACCAGAAGTTAGAATAGCAAATGACATAACAGAGTTTCAGTGAATTACAAGCAAACTCAACAGAAACACTCTTTAAATAAAGAGGGCTTTGTGCAGAACTTAAAGCAGATACAGTACATCGTGGGGCTGTTTCTCCAGAGAGATTGTAATCTGCAGCCTTTAAAAACTTACCTGTAACTCCCCTCTCTCAGATGTTGTCTCCCAGCCCTGTGCCAAAGTCTTACTGCTGTAGTAACATGCTCAGTGGCATATGTGCTGCGGTTTCAGCAGCAGATGTTTTCATGACAAGACAGTTAAAAGCATGCTTCTTTCTCTTTCATGCCACTTTCCGAGTCTTTTATTTTGCACATGTAGTTACCATACTTGTATTTTCTGTAGGAACATCTGCTCAGCAGTTAGATGCAACGTTTAGTACCAGTGCTTCCCTGGAGATATTTGAGTTAGACCTTTCGGACCCATCCTTGGACATGAAGTCTTGTGCTACTTTCCCCTCCTCTCACAGGTATGAGATTCAGCCTTAAGGTCACATTATTATCTAAGCATGCCTTGGGGTAGATGGCTTTATTTTATTTTATTTACTTTATTTTATTTTTTGAGGCAAGGTCTCCTGTAGCCTAGGCTGGCCTGGATCTCACTAGCAGCCAAGAATGCCTTGAACCACTGTTTCTCCTGCCTCTGTTCTGTACTATGGGTGCTAAGATCATGGGCAAGTGCTAGCACTGCTAGTGTATGCAGTGCCTGTGACTGAACCCAGGGCTTTGTGCAGGCTGTGCGAGCACTCTACCAAAGGAGCCACACCCCAGCCCTGTGCTCTACCTCACTTGAAGGAATAATGGCGGTGACATGAAGCATGTGAAAAATTGTACCAGTGCATTTTTATGAAGTCAAGTGCTTACATGTCCTAGTGAATGTTTCATTGCTGTTCTGTGTAGTATGGCCGTAAGGCTCCTAACCCCCTTCTTTCCTCACTGTGGTAGAGGTTTTGCTTGTTTGTTTCTTTTCCCTTATAAAATGTATGTATGAATAAAGAAGGGAGTTTATGTATTTTTTATACACACATAATTTGTTTTGTTTAAGACAGGATCTCTCTCTCTGTAGTCTTGGCTGTTCTGTGTAGACCAGGCTGGTCTTGAACTCACAGAGATCCTTCTTGCCTCTGCCTCCTGAGTGCTAGGATTAAAGGTATGAGCCACCAACACCTGGCCCAGTGTTTTATTTTCTAAGAAAGCAGTTGATTAGCTCTGTTGTGCAGCTGTACAAAATAAATTTTGGGAATATTAAGTAACGTGCCCAGGGTTGTACAGATAAAGTAATTTTTAAGTTCAAGTAAACTTTCTATACTGTATTACTCTGCAGAGTCTTAACTGTTTAGCGGTCAGGAAATCAAATATAAATACACAAGTAAATATTAAGATTCTGTTTTACTGAGGATACTGTCAGCAAGAGTTAAAGAGAAACTACAGCATACATAGAAAGATCAGACAAGAATATAATTAAAGAGTATTTGGACACTTATTTAATTCTAAGAATGAGTTGTTTATTTTCTCCTTAAGGTACCACAAGTTGATCTGGGGACCTCATAAGATGGATTCCAAAGGAAATGTTTCTGGAGTTCTGATTGCAGGTGGAGAAAACGGTAGCATCATTCTTTATGACCCTTCTAAGATCATAGCTGGGGACGAGGAGGTCGTGCTGGCACAGAAGGACAAGCACACTGGGCCTGTGAGAGCCTTGGACGTGAACATTTTCCAGGTTTGACTTGCTTGATGCTCATTCATAGTTGATGCTCATTCATAGTCCTTACTTCTTTTGAAATAACTACTAGCTGGGTGGTGGTGCACGCCTTTAATCCCAGCATTTGGGAGGCAGAGGCAGATGGATCTCAGTGAGTTCTAGGCCAGCCTGGTCTACAAGTGCGAGTTCCAAGACAACCAGGACTACACAGAGAAACCCTGTCTTGAAAAACAAACAAAAAAACAAAAGAAACAAAAAAAGACAAAAAAGAAGAAAGAACTACTAGGCTTCAGTATTAGGAATGAAAGGTACAGACTTACTCCTCTATAGTTTAGAGTTCAGTTTAGGAGCTAGGCATAAACATGGAGGCACACGCCTATTACCTCAGCACTTGAGGGGCGCAGGCAAAAGGATCAGGAATTTGAGGCTAGCTCCAGCTACATGGTAAATTCAAGGCCAGCCTATGCCACATGAGACCCTGTCTCAAACAACAGCAACAACAAAAGCCCCGGGGACTGAAGAGATAGCTCAGTTGGCAAAGTGCTTGCATATGTGAGCAGAACAACGTTCATTCAGTCCTCAGGACCCTGTGGAAGTGCTGGGGTGGCAGCTTGCATCTGTGATCTCAGTCCTGGGGAGGTGGAGACAGGAGGACCCCTGGGGCTTGCTGGCCAGCTAGTCTAGCCCATTTGGTGAGTTCCATGCCAGTGGAGGTGGACAGTGTTTGTTTCTGAGAGTGACATCTGAGTTGTTCTCTGACCTCTGTGCACATGTACACAGGTGCGTGAACATGCACATTTCACATGCTGACTCACCCAACCAAACCCGAGTAAACAAGTAAAACCTGCCCTGAGCAAAGCTGCGGGGAAGACATTCAGCGATAGGCTTGCTTGTATTAGAAGTCTAAAATGTCACGCCACCTGCCTGGACACCTTTAGACATTAGGAGGCCCAGGGTTTGGAAACTGTAAAGCTTAAGATAGGCCAGCTCATAGAACCCATTGGTAGAAGTTTATGAGCATGAAAAGTAACCAGTGAGGTCAGTTTGTGAAGCCTGTTAGTTATTCTTGTACTTCTTACCAGTTTAGCATCGTTTTAGCCTAATGGGCTCGATGTAGAAATCCCTGCAACAAAACCATGTGCCTGTGAGCCAGACGTGTGTGAAAACGGTGGCAGGCTTTATTTAGCTCATGAACTAGACACGTGTGTGACCAGCGGCAGGCTTTACTAGATCTGGCTGCTGCCTGTGAGGCGCCCCGAGAAAGACACTGTAGCTGTAGGATATGTGTCTCTGAGAGCAGGAATTGGTGACTGCTTTCCTTCCATAGTCACATTTTCTCCCAGAGATGCAGAACCACAAACACCTGTCCCTACATGGTTGATGTGCTTGTCTTTAACATTGTAACCACAGACTGCTCTTTTTTAGATGTATTGCTTTAAAATAGTTTCATTGTCAGTAGACATACTTCATTTGGAAAGTTAATACTGTTTCTCTAAAAAAGTTAACTTTGATGAAGAATTATGGATAATTAGGAAAACACACATGTGATTGTTTTGAATCAATGGAAAATTTATGTATTAAAGCCAACATTTTAGTTTTTAGTTATTCTGAGTTTTCAGTTATTTGATTATTGTTTCTTTTTGCAGACCAATTTGGTGGCCTCTGGTGCTAATGAATCTGAAATCTACATTTGGGATCTAAACAATTTTGCAACTCCAATGACACCAGGAGCCAAAACACAGGTATGATGCTAATTGTTGTTCAGTGTAATCAAAGGAACCAAAAGTTGATCTTTTAAATGTGTTCATATTGGTATTAAGTTTTTTTTAAAGCAAACCAGTGATTCAATATCATTAATTTCCTGTGGCATAGTAAAGTATTGATAAATAGGTTTTTCTTATAAGGCACAGGCTGGAGGATTGCCTTGAGTTTGAAGTCAGCTTGGAATACAGAATGAGACTTTATCTAAAATAAAATGTTTCTGGGTGTGGTAACACAGGCCTTTAAACCTAGCACTCAGCAGGCAGAGACAGGCAGGTCTTTATGAGTTCAAGGCCAGCCAGGTCTATACAGTGAGTTCCAGACCAACTAGAGCTACATAGTAAGCCCCTGTCTCAAAAAATAAAATATAGCTTTTCTACAAGGTATCTCTTTGTGTGGATTCCCAGTTTTACTGGCTGTTGTAACTGCTTCTACCATTTTGAAGTCTTGAAAAGTGACTTAATGATAGCATATTGCCTACTACTTATAAAGGCATTTTTTTCCTGGTAGTCCAGCCTGCCATTTTTTTTTCTGCCTAATTATAGGTCACATTCACCAGCCATCAGTTTTGTAGTTTGTGTTCTATCTTGCAACAACTGCAAATAAAGAAACGACTTGGTTTATTTTATAGCAAGAACTCAACGAATGCCTGTTGGATGAGACAACTTTTTTTTTCCTGAGACAGGGTTTCTCTGTGGCTTTGGAGGCTGTCCTGGAACTAGCTCTTATAGACCAGGCTGGTCTTGAACTCACAGAGATCCACATGCACCATCACTGCCCAGCTGAATGACACAATATTAAACAATAAATATATAAAGTATTTGCAGCTATGAAGATCAGTGTTTTAAACAATATGGCACATATTATGGTTGTATGAATAGAAAGGAAATTTGTGGAATAGATGAATATAATTTTTAAGTAGTAGATTTTTTTAAAAAGCTAAAGGAGCAGGCAGGCATGATGGTATACGCCTTTAACCCCAGGACTGGGGGAGCAGAGGTTGATGGATCTCTGTGAGTTCCAGGCCAGCCAGAGCTACATAGTGAGACCCTGTCTGTCTTACAAAAATAAATGAAAGAAAGAAAATGTAAATAAAGAAGCAAGACTAATGATTAAATTTAATTTTTAATTTTTTAGGGAACTTAGTATATAGACTCAGGCTGACCTCGAACTCAGAAATTGGCCTGCCTCTAGAGTACTGGGATTAAAGGTGTGTGCCATCACACCTAATTTATAATTAAATTTGAGTACAGTAATGTCCTAGTTACTTTCTGTTGCTGTGATTAAACACTGCCCAAAACCAACTTGGGCGAAAGAGCTTATGTCGCTTACATGTTCTGATCACAGTCTGTCATCCAGGGAGGTTGAGTGACTTGCTTCTCCTGGCTTGATCACTTGCTTTCCTCCTATAACCTAGACCCACCTGCCCAGGTATGGTACCCCCCACGGTGAACTGGGCACCCCCACATCAGCCAGCAAACAGAAAGTGTATACAGAGCCCTCAGAGCTGACTGACACAGGCAGCTCCTCGGTTGAGGCTCTCCCTAGGGACTCCAGTCTGTCCACTTAACAAGACTAACCAGCGCGCCATGGAATGGTTTCTAATGGGCTGTTCCTCAATAGCCAGCAGAAGACATCAGCTGCATCGCGTGGAACAGACAAGTGCAGCATATTTTAGCATCAGCAAGTCCCAGTGGCCGGGCAACCGTGTGGGATCTTAGAAAAAACGAGCCGATCATCAAAGTCAGTGACCACAGTAACAGGGTAAGTGTCCGGTTGACTTGTGATGAACATGAGCACTTGTGCTGTAAGTGCCCTGGGGCTTGCTTCAAGAAATCAAAGTTTTGGAAAATTAAAACCCAACTTTTTATCAGTTGGTTAATAGTGGGACGAATGCCCCCTCCCCCTTAATGACAATAATTAAATACCCAATAAACCATGTTGGATATGTTTTTTACTTTTTTTTTTCAGTTTAAATTTAGATTAGAAACAAGGTTGCTTCACAAGTCAGTTCCAGGTCTCTCTCCCTTTCCCTCCCCTCCTCCCAAGCCCTCCCCCCAACCCCCCCATTATCCCCTCATTCCCCCAGGGAGGGTGAGGCCCTCCATGGGGGTGTCCATAGTCTGTCATTTCATCCAGGGCAGGGCCTAGACCCTCCCCCCAAGAGTTCAGGGTGAGAGTGCATCTCACATTGTTGGATGGGAGTCCAAAGTCTGTGTGTATACTCAGGATGAGTACTGATCTGCTGCCCAAGGCTCAATAGATTACCTAGGCCTCCTCACTGACACCCCCATTCAGGGGGTCTTGATCAGTCCCATGCTGGATTCCCAGGCTGATGCCTGGGATTCAAGAGTTAACCTTTGTCAGGTCAGCTGTTTCTGGGGTGTTTTTTATCACTTTATTTAGTAATTTTTTGTACGTGTGTGTATGTGTGGGTGCATGTGTGCCATGAAGCACATGTTGAATTCAGAGAACAGCTTTCCATCAGGTGGATCCCACAGATCAAACTCAGGTTGAGGCAGACTTAATGACAGGCACCTTTGTCCTGTAAGCCATCTTGGTGGCATGATATCCCTTCCTTCCTTCCTTCCTTCTTTCCTTCCTTCCTTCTTCCCTACCTCCCTCCTTCCCTTCCTTCCTGTTAAAACTTTAAAGATACTTTTTATTGCGTTTATAGGTTTGGTTTTGGTTTTGGGGGTTTTTTTTGGTGGGTGTGTGAGAATTCAAGTCCCATTGTGCACTTTCCTGCTAGTTCAAGGACAGCTTGCAGGACTTGGCTTCTCTCCTCATACCATGTGGGTCCCTGCTTGAGATTAAAGTTAGGTCTTCCAGGTTTGGCAGCACGTGCCTTTATGTGCTGAGGCATTTTTCCCACCTTGGTTAAAGACTGTCTAAAACAAGAGTGCCTAAGTCAGAATGTGTAGATCATTTTAAAACAATTAAAAAGAGCCTTCCTCCAGATTACTATAGTTTTAAGTGGACCAGACTTTTTTTTTTTTTTTTTTTGGTTTTTCGAGACAGGGTTTCTCTGTATTGTTTTGGAGGCTGTCCTGGATCTCACTCTGTAGACCAGGCTGGCCTTGAACTCACAGAGATCCGCCTGCCTCTGCCTCCCGAGTGCTGGGATTAAAGGCGTGCGCCACCAACGCCCGACGTGGACCAGAAATTTTAAAACACAGGTTTCAGAGGAATAAGGCATCCAAAAATAATTTTAGTCATTATGTAGAATATTTATTAGAATCTAAACTTCTGTGTCATTCCCAGTACTAACTAGTAATTGGATAGTAGTTATTGCTTAAGATACTATGTTTGATTTTTGTTTTTGTTTTTTGAGGAAAGATAGGTTTTTTATTTTTAGTTTTTAATTGAGAATTTTTATTTTCATTTTTGAAAGTGTTATATTTTAAGTTAGTATAAAATCATTCTCTTAGTTACAGTATTAATAATGAATTTCATTTCAGGTAATAGAATTATTTTGAGTTGAATTGCTCTATGTGTCACAAGTAGATGAATAGAAACCACCCAAAGGCTCTACTTCCAAGACTCTTGTTTAAGGCTGTCTGGTAACATTTAAAAGGTTTGGCAGTAGTCTGCCCGCTGCTTTTTCCTGTTCATTTCAGTAGTGACATAGTCCTCAAACTGAAGCTCTGCTCTTCAGAGAGTAACCTGGTTGCTAAGATGTGGGCCTTCCCCGTCTGCAGATGCACTGCTCTGGGCTGGCGTGGCACCCTGATGTGGCTACGCAGATGGTCCTAGCCTCTGAGGATGACCGATTACCAGTGATCCAGATGTGGGATCTCCGATTTGCCTCCTCTCCTCTCCGCGTTCTGGAAAACCATGCCAGGTACCATGCTGCTGTTTCAAGGAAGTTCATTGCTTCATGTTTTAGTTAATTAGATAGGTAATTAGATAATTAGATCAGTTATATCATGAATCCTTTGTTAAAACATTTTCCACCACTTACTTCAAATAATTAAGCCAGGCATAGAGATGTGTATCTGTAATCCCATCATGCGGCACTTAGAGGCAAGGGGGGGTCAGGAATTCAAGGCTATCCTCAGCTACATAGTTCATTCAGGAAACTAAAATCACCTAAAATAGATGTTAAACATTTGAATATGTCAGTTCTTGACATTGATTATACAATAAGGTCCATATTAGTCATCAAGCCTAAGAAAATTTAATGCCATATAGCAACAGTTTAGAAACTGGTTTGATTCTGTTTCCATTTTACTTTAAAAGCAAACGGTTTTGAGAAATTAGGTGATCTGCTTCCAGTTTCCATTAATATGGTAATTTTCTCATGTTTTAGTGTCTTTGTATTTCATTAATTTGGCAAATTTTCCATTATTGATACTTAGGTAGTAGCAAATATATGTAAATGTGTTTAAATTAGAAAATATTGTATTAGTTTCTAGCCTGGTATTGGTGGTGCACGCCTTTAATCTCAGCACTCGGGAGGCAGAGGCAGGTGGATCTCTGTGAGTTCCATGCCAGCCTGGTGTGTGTGTGTGGGCCGTGGGCTGCTATACCTGGCTTGGGTGTGTGTGTGGGGGGGGGTGTGGTGTGGGCCGCTATACCTGGTTTTGTGTGTGTGTGAGGGGGCTGTGGGCTCACATACACCACTTCCCATGCTGTGGAGGTCAGAGTAGCCTGTGGTACTCAGTGTCTCTCACGGGACCCAGAGATTGAATGTAGGTCATAGGGCTTGGCCTATATGTGACTATACTTTGTTCTCATTTGTTCCTCTCTTCTGCCTGTGTCTTTTTTAATAGGGGAATTTTGGCAATTGCTTGGAGCATGGCAGATCCTGAATTGTTGCTAAGCTGTGGAAAAGATGCTAAGATTCTGTGCTCCAACCCTAACACAGGAGAGGTAGGAGGAGGAATGTTCCAACCTTTCAATACTCTTAATACTGTATTCTACCTAAATAAGACATTTCCGTATGGTTTTAAGCCCATGATTATAATTAAGACTATTGCCGGGCGTTGGTGGCACACGCCTTTAATCCCAGCACTCGGGAGGCAGAGGCAGGTGGATCTCTGTGATTAGGCCAGCCTGGTCTACAGAGTGACTTCCAGGACAGGCTCCAAAACAATACAGAAACCCTGTCTCGAAAAACCAAAAAAAAAAAGACAAGACTGTTGGAGGAGAGTCAGATCTGACGGGAACATTACCTAGGCTCATCTCATTCTAGAATTAGTCTTCCTGTATTGGAACTTAGATTTTACTTGCTGCCTTTAAAAAATGATGTATTTTATGGGCATTGGTGTTTTGCCTGCATGTGTGCCTGTGTGAGGATGTTGGGTCCTGGTGTTAGTTGTGAGTTGCTGTATGGGTGCTGGGAATTGGACCAGGGTCGTCTGGAAGAGCAGCCAGTGCTCTCGACTGCAGAGCCATCTCTCCAGCCCCTACTCCCGGCCGCGTGCCTTTGCCTTTTGTCTGCTGCAGTGCATCGTTGCAGGAGCTTTTGTACGTATTTTGATGGAAACTAATGAGTAGCTGGGGCTGGGAATGTGGCTCAAGTCAAATGCTTGTACAACACCTGAGAATCCTAGCTTGATTTCTAGCACCATTAAAAAGAGTCTTTAAGCTGGCAAGATGGCTCAGCAGTTAAGTCTGGAAACCTGGATTTGCTTCCTGGAACCCACATGAACAGGATGCAGTGACTACATGTGTAACCTTAGCATTCCTACAGTGAGGTAGGAAGCAGGAGGAGCACCTGGAGGCTCACGAGACAGCCAGAGTGTATGTACAGCACAGCAGAAACAACAGTGTGCCTCAGCAAGGTGGAAAGGGAGAGCTGATTTCTGAAAGTTGTCCTCTGTGTGTGTAATGTAACACATGTACACACATACCCACATACACACAGATGTCTCAATAGATTTTGTTCTTTTAGCTGTTGAGCATTGCTCTTTTATTTTTAAGATTTATTATGTATACAGCATTCTGTCTGCATATATGCCTGCAGACCAGAAGGGGCGCCCGATCTCATTACAGATGGTTGTAAGCCACCATGTGGTTGCTGGGAATTGAATTCAGGACCTCTGGAAGAGCAGCCAGTGTTCTTAACCTCTGAGCCATCTCTCCAGCCCCTGAGCATTGATCTTAGGGCCTCAAGTGCAACAATTCTGACAACTTTTTGTTTATTTTTAATTTCCTCTGCATGTACTTGTACACACATGAACTTATGTTGGCCTACACCTGTCTGTCAGAATTAATAGCATGTCAGTTGCATGTCTACCTATTTTTTGAGCCAGGAATCTTCCTGTCTCTGCCTCCCCAACAATGTGACCACAAGCGAATACCAGACCTGGCTTTTTCTATAGGTGTAGGGGCTTCAGCTGCAGTCCTCATGCTTGAATGGCAAGTATTTACACATGGAACCATCTCCCTGGCCCTGTAAAGGTGTTTGTAAAGTTTTCCCATGTCCTTTCCCTTCTGTAGAAAACTTAGAGGCAGATATTTTTAGGATTCTTCAGCAATAAAAATGAGATAATATGTGTTTTCTCTTTTGGCTGAAAGCCAGACTATCTGCGCATTCTTTCTAAGAGTGGTTTAAAGTTTGGTCTTCAATGACCTAGCTATAGTTCTTGGAATCTTGCTAGGCATTAACAGTTGAAAAGAACAGTACTAGAACTTGATAAAATGTTCTGACCTTTCCAGCTTGTCTTCTACTGCCATTTTAGGAAAAGAAATATCGAGTAGCATTCTTGTTGTTAATGGACCATTCCAGGGTCACTATACTGTAGGAAGAACTTAGCATTGGTTTTCTTGGCTAAAGACTCTTTCTTAAAATAAATGTTCAACTGTACCTATTACCAACAGTACTTATTTTGGTTATGATCTGGCTTTCTTTTTTCTAACTTGCTTATTTTTGTTGGGCTAGGTATTATATGAACTTCCCACCAACACACAGTGGTGCTTTGATATCCAGTGGTGTCCTCGAAATCCTGCTGTCCTATCAGCTGCTTCCTTTGATGGACGGATCAGTGTTTATTCTATCATGGGAGGGAGCATAGACGGCTTAAGGCAGAAACAAGTTGACAAGGTAATAGGCAGTGTTAAGGCTTTTGATAATTACAGTGATTTTTACCAACAGCAATGCCATTGTACTGGATAATTGTTATTAGACATTTTTATATGATTTGGAAAATTGTAACATAGTTTATATAAGCTAGTGACTCATACTTCTTTTTTTAAAAATAGCTTTCATCATCCTTTGGGAATCTTGATCCCTTTGGCACAGGACAGCCCCTCCCTCCACTACAAATCCCACAGCAGACTGCGCAGCACAGCATAGTGCTACCCCTGAAGAAGCCACCCAAGTGGATCCGCAGGCCTGTTGGTGCCTCCTTCTCGGTGGGTGGACTTTGTTTTTATGGTTAGTATGACATATTAGCGGAGAAGTGGTGGGACAGCATGCGGTCCATTTCATCAGGGTGACTTGCGGAAACTGAAAAGGACAGTTGGAGGCTAGGGTAAAATTTGGCAGCCTGAGAGGACATGTTAGCGATGTACATACAGTTCTTTACTTTCACAGACTTACCGTATGTTCGCTTTGGGGCACAGCTCAGTGGCTAATGAGTTCATTTGTTCCCTCACAGTTCGGGGGGAAACTGGTGACTTTTGAGAATGTTCGAGGGCAGCCTCAGCAGGGCGCTGAGCAGCAGCAGCGGCAGCAGGTGTTCGTCAGTCAGGTGGTGACGGAAAAGGACTTTCTCAGCCGCTCGGAGCAGCTGCAGCAGGCTGTGCAGTCCCAGGGCTTCGTCAGTTACTGCCAGAGAAAGATTGATGCTTCTCACACTGAGTTTGAGAAGAACGTGTGGTCCTTCTTGAAGGTAAAGTTGGGTGTATTTCATTATCGATAATCAAAGTCTGTCTTCCTTCTGAGGAAACCTTTGAGATAGTATGATTTCAGGAAGGCATGACAAAACTGAAGAAACCCAAGCTGGGCACAGTAACACACACCTGTAATGCCAGCACTCAGGGAGCTGAGACAGCAAGATCTCAAGTTCAAGGCCAGCATGAGCTATGTAGCAACACCTTGTCTCAGAAAGCCAAAATAATCTTGTAAAGAGAGCTCAGCCTCATATCTTACACCATTATAAGTGTGAAGATGTCTTTCATTCAATAGATTTTTAGATTAGAACATGAGAGCTGCTATAGTAAAGGCATAAAGTCTTTAGTGTCTGTAGCCAGTCTGGTTAGTGGATGCGGGAAGAGAGGAGGGAGAGGGGAGAGTCGAGGTGCTTCTCTTCTTGCTGCTTCGGAAGCCTTTTAGCACACTCTTTTCAGAAATGACCGAGAGTTCTGTTTGCACAGATGTTTCTTGATACTGAATTTTCCAAAAAGAAACAATCTTGAATATGATTAGGTTGAATTCTACAATTGTAGAAATTATAGTTTGTTAGTTAGGGATAAACTTTTGTTTCTGTTTGAGAAACAGCCCCTCACTTTGTAGTTCTGAGTCTCCTGAAATGCGCTCTGTTGATCAGGCAGGCCCAGAGGTCCCACTGTCTGCCTCCCTAGTGCTGCAGCTGAAGGTGTGTGCCACCCCACCCAGCTTAGGTGTGAAACTTTTAAAAAGTTGAGGGCTATTGAATACTACATACACTATTTTACTTTGTCATAGAATCTTTGAACATGAATTGCTTTGTGTTTTAACAAAATTATAGTTAAAAACAAGCCTCACTTGTCCAGAATGGTGAATTACTCAACATCCACACAATTAGAAAACAGCTAGTTTATCCACGCATGATGGTGCGTGCCTGTGATCCCAGGGATGAGCGGCACAGGAACCTCAGAGTTCACCTGCTGCATAGAGCATTTGAATCTAGGGCCTGGGCCTCAGTAGTTTTTCAAAAACGTTGTTTCAAAAGCCAAGCAATTATAAGTGGGGTCCCCAGTACTGATTTTGGGGAGCTCACAACCACCTGTAACACCAGCTGTAGGAACTGTACGCCACCCTCTAACCTGCCGGCACTCAACGGGTACAAACCAGCACTTGGGCAACGCATGCTTACTTAGTTAAAAAATAGTTTCTAAGGTTATTTAAATTCTTTTTTAACAGTGAAATTTCAGGGTTTTATAAACTTTTGATTTTTTAATAATTTGAGTTGGAATTTGGTCAATTCTTAGAACAACTAGGTTTTAAACGTAGGTCTTTGAAGATTATATCTCTTTTCAAAGGTCAACTTTGAGGAGGATTCTCGAGGGAAATACCTGGAGCTACTTGGATACAGAAGAGAAGACCTGGGGAAAAAGGTAAAGTCCTGAGAAGATCAAATGACCGCCTTACACAGATGCTCGTGTGCTGTGCAGACTGTGTGCTTTATAAAGTCTCTACAGACTTCCTCAGATCAGTCAACAATCACTTAATAAGAGCTGCTATATGTTACCAAAGTTTGCAAGTGTGAAACTCCACTTTCTGCCTGGATTTAGAAGCTGCCAGAACCACCTTTAATTCAGGCTGCACGGTCAGGGTTAGTTTGGCCTTGGTAGGTCAGTCACACACTGAGATTCACTGAGGTGTGTTCCGGTGGTCTGGAAAGAAGGAGGGCAGCAGCTGTTAGCTGTCTTCCCATTTACATGGCTTGGGGGGAAGCTGCAGTTTTCCACCCTAGCTAGTATGAATTCTTCTTTTTGAGACAGGGTTTTTCTGTGTAGCCCTGGCTGTCCTGGAACTCATTCTGGAGTCCAGGCTGGACTTGAACTTAGAGATCTGCCTGCCTCTGCCTCCTGAGTGCTGGAATTAAAGGCATGTGCCATTACCTTCCAGCTAGCATGAAACTTTTAAATGACTTATTGTTGAACAGTCACCAAACACATGGCTGGTACAGGATGGAAATTTTATGAGCCTAAGCAAACAAAGTCCAAGTAGTTTGCTTTGTCATTTCACTTTTGAAAGAATTCCCTTTTTGAAAGAGAAAAACACATAGTTTTGTAGTCTTCTCAAAAAGGGTCTTACTTATGTCAGTGTTGGCATCAGTAGCAGTAAAAACTCTGGGAACCTTGAGAACTGTTTTGCTCTCTGACCCTTCACCTCTGTTGGCGGTAACTGAAGTTTTCTGTAGACTTGTGTAGCTACGTTTGGTGCTGTCTAGGTGTGGGCTCCTCTGAGGGCAGCCACACTGCTAGTGTCTTTGCTTCCTCCTGTAAAGTGTTAGTATTTATTTCATTTCCCTGCTAGCTGTAGCTTTTTGATGCTCTGAGTTTTCTAAGTTTTCAGGAGATTAAAGTTTTAACTTGTATCCTGAAAGCAAAAATTAGGAAAAGCAGTCACTATCAAAATACTTGTCAGGCAATTTGTTCTTTATTGAGTACCTGAAGACATCTTTTTAAACACTATTTGTAAGCCAGGTGTGGTGGTGCTGCCCTTTAACTTCAGCACTCAGGAAGCAGAGGCAATAGATCTCCATGGGTTCCAGGCTAGCCAGGTCTACATGGAGAGACCCAGTCCTAAAAAAAAAAAAAAAAACCAAAATAAAACAATAAGAAAAAACTTAACAAATCAAACAGTGATTTATAGTTATTTTACAACAACAAAGAACAAGGAAGCATGTTTCTTCAAGATTGATTTTGTGGTTAAGACAGCAGAGCTGAAAATTATCTGAACCAAGAACTCCATGTAAATGAAACTAGAACCAGTAGGAATCAGTTGTACACAGATGTTCAAATGGAACTAGAACCAGTAGGAAGAGTGTACCTGAGAATGGAGTACAGCTGACCGTGCTGTACACCCTGGTTAGTTTGTGTGGGTGTGCCTGAGAATGGAGTACAGCTTACTTGCTGTACACCTGGATTAGAATTACAGGTAGTAGGTGAGTTGTTGTTTTCATTTCAGATTGCTCTGGCCTTGGACAGAGTGGATGGATCCGATGTGGTAAGAAAGCCTCTAAAAACAGCTGCTGTCTCCCAAGAGTTTGGTTAGATCATGTCAAGAAGTGTAATTTGGGAAGTTGATCTGTTTTGTGCTTCCTGGTTTAGAAAATACCAGTTCTGAGTATTTTTGTAAGTTCATGATCCTCGTCTTAAGTTTGGCTGGTAAAGCATGTGCTTTGGTGTATTTGAACTTCATAAAAGGAAAAACTGAGACAATGCCTGCTCAGATAAGGTAAAGCACTTGCATGCCACATGACATTTGGTAGCCAAAAGGGGAGATGGTGGTAGTGACCGTTCCTGCTATCCTTTAATGTTGTTTCTGGAATAAATCTGTTCGGTTGTTTCTCATGATCAAGCTCTGGATGCGGTTGGTTGGGTCTTTTGTCTCTTGTTACTAATACCTTTAATGCTGCGCTCTTCATCCCCTCTGATTGTTTTCTGTACCAAAGGCTCTTAAAGACCCTGACCAAGTAGCACAGAGTGATGGGGAGGAGAGCCCTGCTGCTGAGGAGCAGCTCTTGGGAGAGGTACTTATTTTTATATTATATCAGACAACTGTGTGATAATTGTGTATCTCACTTGAAAACACTTTGGACTTTTTTTTTGACTACTTGTTGCCAATTATGTTTGATGTACTGTTTCCTCAGATGTGCTAAGGGTAAGCGTATATTTACCTAAGAAGTATCTTTGCATGCTAGTCCATTGGCCAAGCTTCTTGATTGTATGACTTAAAGTTTGCAGTAGATGAGAGATTTCCTTAATTGGCTCAGATGGCTGCCAGTTGCTAAACTGACAGAGGATTTATTCACAAATGCAATTGCCTTGCATGTCAAGTTCATGCTTTTTTCTTGGCACATTACTTTGTGTAGCCTGCTGTCAGTGATAGAGGCTTCTAAATTGGTCCTGAACTGGAACACAGCAGAGAGTATTTTATAAGACTAAACTAATCGTGATGACTTGCTATTAGTGTGTCCTTAGCTGTGCTTAGTAATTTCTGTAACTAATTGAAAAGAGACCTTGAATACAGAGTTGTATCATTAATTTACTTCATTTTGACTCTTTCTTTCTCCCCTCAACTAACAACTAATTTTATAGCTTTCTTTTCTTGCTTTCTGATTTTATTTCATCTTAGAAATTAATCAAGTTCTTAGTTCTTATCTAATCTTTGACTTTTCCATTGCCTTTTATGGTAGGGGCTATATATCTTGACTGTAGAATGCTTATAAATATAATTCATGAGTATCTTGGGCTACTATAAAGTGATTATGAAATATATTTTCTATTAAAATCAATCACCTAGAGTTTAAGAAGGAACTAGGGAACATTGTACAATCTTGCTAAAATTTTGAACTAAAATTTTGGAGATACCTAGGGAAAATTATAGATGCCTACAGGTTTGTTCATTTGTGTATTATCAAATGAAAGACTATTTGGTCATGCACTCGTGAATAGTAGCTGATAAAAATACTTCACCAGATAGTAGTCATCATTGCATACTTTGGAGGCTTGAAACAAATTATGCATAAGGGGATAAAATCTTCCCTTTTGTCTTGATGATACTATTTTTGCTTTTCAGATATAGTACCTTGGACATTCAGGGTGTTCAGTACATAAGAAATTAAGCATTTGCCTCAGCCTCCCACATGCTGGAAATATAGGGATGTAGTATCACACCTAGTTTTCTGTCTTTAAAAAATTCCTTTACAAGATGGATGTTTGGTGGTACACACCTTTAATCCCAGCACTTGGGAGGCAGAGGCAGGTGGATCTCTGTGAGTTTGAGGCCAGCCTGGTCTACAGAGCGAGTTCCAGCACAGCCTCCAAAAACAATACAGAGAAACCCCCCTGTCTTGGGGGAAAAAAACGTTTGTTAGTTGTTTATAGAAAGCATGTTTGAAGACTGGTGATTTAGAAAATGGGAAGATTGTGCTGTTTGTGTAGTCCTGGGGCTGAGCCCAGGTGTTACACATCCCTATCATGGATGTGCATCTCAGCTCTCAGAGTATTGTGCTGTAAATTTGTGTATATTTTCTGTAAATATAATAAGGACTGTTGTAATTTTAGCTGTTCAAGAGAGAAAGATACCATGGGACAGAACTCATGTGAAGGGTTTTGTTTTTTTTCTTAATTAGGGGAAAGGGAGGGGAGAGGGGAGACCAGCCTCTTGGGGACAGGAGCAGGAGAAGAGAAAAGAGGGGGATAGAAGGAAAGATGGGAAGTGGGCAGGGCCCTTTTAGAAGGTAATGTAGTGGATGTGCACAGGTGGTGTGCTCTTAGTGACTGCACCTGAGGGCGTGTCCTGTCAGGACCCCGAGGGCAGGCCAGTACAGATGCCTGAATACTAACAAGGATGGGTGGTGGATTTATTCCCCAGTGGGATTAATGTAAACTGCCAGCACTTCTCTAAACTTGTAGATGCTAAGGGGAGAAGGAAGTAGGTCTGGCCTCCTTCTGTAAGGGTCAGTTAATTAATTAAGTTCTTTAGATGAGCCAGTGCTGTCCTCTGCAGAAAAATGACTCTGCTCGGAAGTGGAAGGCAGTCACATTCAGCTGTGCAGGCTGCACAGATGTCTGTATGAACATTGGATTTCGCGCAGGATAACTTTTTTTTTTCATTTCAGAAGAAAATCTTGGGATGTCTGTGGGTCTTTACAAGCTCAATGTCCCTAATCTAAAAATCTAAGAAGCTCTGAATTTCAGATCATTGTGTGTACTAGGCTTTTTCCTATAGGCCACCAGCCTGCTCCTAAATCATGACACAGAGACTTAGTAGTTATGAATGCTCAGCCTACCTTAGGCTTGTTTCTGGCTAGCTCTTTTACATTAGATTAACCTGTTTCTCTTTATCTACCTTTTGCCTTGGGGCCTTTTTACTTTGTTTTCCCGTTCCTTTTTTAAAAAAATTTATTACGTGTACACTGTTGTGTATGCACCAGATCTCATTATGAATAGTTTTGAGCCACCATGTGGTTGCTGGGAATTGAACTCAGGACCTCTAGATGAGCAGTCAGCACTCTTAAACTCTGAGTTTCCTTCTGTATGTCTTACTTTCACTGCTTCTCATGTCTGGCTGGCTTCTTGCCCTGGGCGTGTCCCTCCTTCTCATTCTATTCTTTTTTCCCATCTTATTTATTGTCTCTCCCTGCTAACCCTGTCTATCCTTTCTCTACTAAGCTATTGGCTGTTCAGCTCTTTATTGGACCAATCAGGTGCCTTAGGGATGCAAGGTGAAACAAATGCAGCAAAAGCAAATGTAACACATCTTTACATTATTAAAGTAATATTCTGCAGCATAAACAAATGTAACATACCATTTCACAGTTAAAGTAATATTCCACAGAATTTTGTATTTAGATTTTTAATTGAGTCACTCAGTTTGTAACTTATAATAGATGTGTGTGTATTATCAGACTATGTACTGTTCCATATGTAACTAATTTAGAGGAAAATGAAATGTATGATTTAATTTTGTTTATTTAGAAACACTCAAATGCTTAAAACAGTGTTCATACTGCTTTGTTGTTATTTTGTGGCATTGGAGACCAAACCTACTTGCCAGGCATGTGCTCTGTAACTGATGACACCAAGTAATTTGTTTTGTGATTCAACTTTGACAACAACACTTTAGAGCCAAACCTAGACACTACAATTAAAAACACACATATTTCACGTCTTTGAAGTCACTGAGAGTTGGGGGTCTGAGGAAGCACTCCTTACTTTTGACAGCATCATTTTGGGTCTCTGGGACTAGTAGGAACCCTTGATTTGGAGTTTCAGGTGGCTGAGTTTTACTTGCGTCTCATGGGAGTTAATGCCTAGGAAGTCCAAGCTTCTGGTCTACCATCTCTACCCGTGGATTGGAAACATTTTGAAACAGCTTGTTGTATCACCGTCTCAGTAAATGAGTAATCATATATAATTTTTGGCAGTAAGTTATTTCAGTTTCTTTTTTGCTAAATTGCTGCCTTTTTCATGTCTTTAGCGAATTAAAGAGGAAAAACAGGAACCTGGCTTTGTGCCCTCAGCTGGAGGGACATTCAACATCTCCGTCAGTGGGGGTAAGTGCTGTTGGCTTTGACTGAAGTCTCTCTCAGCCATAGCAAGTCATTGGTCTTCAAGCTTAATCAGAGAGCAAGAGATCTCTGTGCAGATGAGAGGATTTGAACTCACAATCGTCTTGCCTGGGCCTCCCAAGACCCAGGACTTCATTGTAGGCATAACTAGAAATGTGTTGTCACAGTGGGTAGGGTTAAGAAAGAGCTTGGTCATAATTGTTATATAATCGGTGTTTTGAGAAGGGTGATGAGTTCTGAAACACGTAAGTGATCTTACTAACACAAAAAAATGTTACTATATATCCTGGACTGTTTCCATAACTTCCATAAATAGTGACAGCTTATTTTACAAATTTAATCTGCTTGTAATAAAAAGTTAGCATTGTGTTCTCCATTAGTCTGTGTATAAAAATGGGTGTGCATAGTTTTCTTGTAATTGTTTTTAGTAACAAGCTATTTAACTTGGATGTTGTGTTTCTTTATTACAGATATTGATGGATTAATTACTCGGGCTTTGCTGACGGGCAATTTTGAGAGTGCAGTTGACCTTTGTTTACACGATAACCGAATGGCTGATGCTATTATATTAGCCATAGCAGGTGGACAAGAACTCTTGGCTCAAACACAAAAAAAATACTTTGCAAAATCTCAAAGCAAAATTACCAGGGTATGTCATTATTCATAGTAAATAGTAGTATAGAAACACACACTCATATACTTGCATATTTTAAAATTTTTATGTTAGTCAGGTGTGGTGACGCACACCTTTAATCCCAGCACCTGGGAGGCAGAGGCTTTCTGAGTTTGAGGACAGCCAGAGCTACACAAAGAAATCCTGCTTTCTACACCCCCACAGACACACAAAAAATATTTTTTGGATGGGGGTCTTGCTATATAGTCTAGGCTTCCCTGAATCTTCAATCCTTCTGCTTTAGCTTCCAAAGTATTACGAACTTTTTATTATTCTGATTATGGAGGTAGTATCCTATTGCTGTTATGGATAATTGAGATACAGAAGGCAGGAAAGAATTAAGTTCTTTGATGCAGAAATTGCTGTTTATGCTTTAATGTGATAAAATTTCAATGTTTTGATTCCCTTCCAGGGGTTTAGTGTAGGCAATCTCAAGATAAAAACTTAGTTGTCTCCAACCTTGTTAAGAAGCTAGTGCCTGTCTTTCCACGCCTTTCTGTAGACAGTCAAGAGCACGCATAGATGTGTGTCATCCTCCTCGTAGACACTGTCACAGTGTAAGCTTCTCCTGCATCGGAAAGGACTTTTAGAAAGATTTTTAATTACTCTACAGTATTATGATTAGAAGGTATTATGTCACCATTTAGGATTGTTTGGGCTCCTTTTAATGTTTTCTTTATGTAGTAATTAAAACCTTTTGCCTAAAGATTTGAACAGAGTTTTGATTATTGTTACTATAATTTCTGGCAGAGAGGGTCTGAACATTTTCAAGCTAATGTTAGTTTGTAAATTTTTGGTTTTTGTTTTCTGAGACAGGGTTTCTCTGTGTTAACAGCCTTAGCTGTCCTAAAACATGTTATGTAGGCTAGATTGGCCTTGAATGCAGACATCCTTCTGCCTCTGCCTCCCAAATGTTGGAATTAAAGGCATAGGCCACCATGCCCCACCTGGAAATTATTTTTCATGAAATTATCTCAATATTGAACCCCAGTGGTGGTTGTCCTGTCCCCAGTTTCCAAGTGCGCCACTGTCCTGTCACACTAGCCCATTCTGTGTTCCATGATGTTCTCCCTAAGCCTTGAGTGCTTTCTATTTTTTTTTATAAAGTTGACACATGCATGCACAAGTACCATGCAGTACTTGTTGAGGTCAAACAGCTTGCATGATTTGGTTCCCTTGTACCACGAAGGTCCTGGGGATTGATCATAAGTCATCGGCCTTGATCCTCAGGCTTGACAGAAGCACTCTTAACCTATTTTGCCATTTCATTTGGCCCTAGAATGCTTTTTAGCTTCTTTATAAAGTTCCTTCCTGCTTGTCCTTCAGGTAAAGTCCCTTAGGACTCCATGTTCTCCTGGCTTCTCCTGAACCGCTGGACTCAGGAACATCTTCCTGTTACAATGTTTTGCTAGTGTCCTACACTTTTCTCCTGAAACCCTTTGTAAAATACATGGATGTGATTTTCTTTTTGAAGGAAAAATAGCATCTGTTATTTGGTTAAAGAATGTTTTTCACTTTGCTGCTGTTTGATTTATCATGAAAACTGTAAATAGTTGCTTTAAAAGACAAGACTGTTAAGTGTGGGGCTCAAGGGACATGACCACCCTGTGTTAGGTCAGGCACTGCAGACATGTGAAGACTAGGCAGTTCAAGCTCATGTGTCTAGTAAAGTCTTCACTTCCTGTGTTTCCATTTCAAGCTCATCACCGCCGTGGTGATGAAGAACTGGAAGGAGATTGTGGAGTCCTGTGATCTTAAAAACTGGAGAGAGGCCTTAGCTGCAGTGTTGACTTACGCTAAGCCGGATGAATTCTCAGCCCTGTGTGGTAAGAAATCAGCCCCACTTGTAACCTCTTGCACAGGTGGCAGGGTGTGCTGCACAGTTAAGGAGTTTTACTAGAAATCTTGGGGTGTCCAATGTCAAATAAGAATTATAAAATACAAAGGTGGCCTGTGCCCAGTGCTAGCTGCTGGTTTCCTTAGCATATTCAAGGATGTGAATTTGATTCTCAATAAGAAGAGACGCAAACAGACAAAAGAATGGAAAGTGCGTATAACATATGTCGTTTAAAAGTCATCTGTTCAGCGGTAGTGGTTTTGGATAGACCAGAATGTAAGTTTTGCCGCTGCTACTTACAAGCTGTGTGACCCAGAAACGATCATGTTTTAAGCCTCATTTTAATTAATTAACACATATGTAGTTCTCAGTAAATGTTAATTGGGATCAATTAATAGTAGTAACAAGTAAAATTTATCATCACAGGTCAGAGCTACCTTGTGCTTAGCTAACTGACAATGTTTTCTCTATGTGCCATTCAGAGTTTCATGTTCAAATTTTCCCACTTATGTTCTTTTCTAATATACTTGATGGGGAGCAGTTCTGTAGTTAGAGATAGGATCTTATACAGTATATGATTTGCTGCACACCACCATTCACTTAATAGCTAAATATTCACTGAGCATCTGGAGTGCTTGTGTTTCTTTCTGGTTCTCACTGGTTGCTCTGAAAATGCCGCTGAGCTGCGCCCAGCTTCATACACAGTGAAGTGGGTGCCATCTGATCTTGTTCTCTGTTCCATTCACAGACCTCCTGGGAGCCAGACTTGAGAGTGAAGGAGATAGCCTCCTGCAGACACAGGCATGCCTCTGCTATATTTGTGCAGGGAATGTAGAAAAACTGGTTGCCTGTTGGACAAAAGCTCAAGATGGTAGCAATCCCTTGTCTCTTCAGGTTAGTATCTCTGAAACAAAAGGCGCTTACGTTTTAGTGTTTCCTCCCCGTACTTAGGGTTCCGCTAAGAATGCCTTTATCTGTGGAGCTTGTTGCTTTCATCATCTTTGGCTGGATCCTCATGGTGTTTATTTTGTCTTTAAAGAAGAGGTGTGAGGCAGTGGCTTGTCAGATGTGGCTGAGGTCCCAGGGTGGTCCGCAGTCACTGGGGCCGCTAGGGAGCAGAGCACAGAAAGTAGCCCAGGGTTTAGCTGCTTCCTCTCAAGCTCCTTCTACCTCTGTCAGAGAACAGCAGTGTGGGCTGGAGAGTCAGAGACTTCCAAGTCTGAGGAGAATATTTATGATCAGGGACCTGAAGTACCAGACACAGGGACTCAGGTTAGCACTGCTAAACAAACTAGAAAGTCACTGTGGGGACCGGGTAGCTTCAGATCCCCAAAGCAGTTAGTTGCACTTCAGTCTAGTCGTTACTTTTCTCTCTGGAAAACACAGAGTCACTGTTTTAAAGATCATTCTATAAGACTAAAAGTCAGGTTAAAAAACAAAAACAAAAATCAAGCCTTCCCTTTTAGGTGCTTCTGGGAGAAAAACGTTTCCCACTCGTGGATTGGTGGCTTCCAAGGGGCAGCAGGGAGGGTCTCCTGTACACACTCTCCTGCTCCCATCACAAGGCCTGCTCCCCAAGAACAGCTCCCAGCCTTTGCCACGTCGTGTATTAGTCAGATCTGCAGTATTGTGATGAATTGGCTGGACAAATTAACTTTTACAGAAAAGGGTTTTGATTGGCTTCATGGTTTGGAGAGTCATAGGGTGGTTGGCCTGTGGCTGTGGGCCTCTGGCAAGAGCAGCATATTTGATAGGAGCACATGGCTGAGCCAGAGAGAGCAGAACAACAGAAGTGACCTAGGCACACAGTCCCCTCAAGGGATGCCCCTAGTGACCTAAGGCTCCACTTCTTAAAGGTTCTACCGCCCCTCAATGGTGCCAGCCTTTGAGGGAGCCCCCGTGGAGACCATGTACCTCTGTCATGAGTCTGTGTGATAGTGTGTTGTTGCAGTCACCATGGCATGATACGTGTGCACATAGCTCTTCTTTTGCTTACTGGGTACCTGCCCATCACTTTCAGTTTTGTTATTTGTCCTCAGTGCATGCTCCTCCTTCTCCTCCTCCTCAGTGGCCATCACGCAGATGGTACTCATCTCTCCCACTTTTCAAGTAGGAATGAGGACCGGTGCTGTACTTTTGGTGGGTTGTTAATCTTAATGACTCTGTTTCTCTGCTGACTCTTTCATAGACGTGTTGGGATTTCTGATTGTCTTCTTGTCCCTCATTTTTATCATTTAGGATCTGATTGAGAAAGTTGTCATCCTCCGAAAAGCTGTGCAGCTCACCCAAGCAATGGACACGAATACAGTAGGGACTCTCTTGGCTGAGAAAATGAGTCAGTATGCCAGTTTGTTGGCAGCTCAGGGGAGCATTGCCGCAGCCTTGGCATTTCTGCCTGACAACACAAATCAGGTAATTAAGCCAACAGTTCATCTTGGTTTTTTGGGGGGGATTTTGTTTGGTTTTGGTTTGGTTTTTGGTTTTTCGAGACAGGTTTTCTCTGTGTAGTTTTGGAGCCTGTCCTAGAACTAGCTCTTGTAAACCAGGCTGGTCTCTAACTCACAGAGATCCGCTTGCCTCCCCCCCCCCCCCCCAAGTACTGGGATTAAAGGCGTGGGCCACCAACACCTGGCTTCATCTTGGTTTGGTTTAGTTTTTCCAGACAGGGCCTTGGCTTGGCTATCTTGTAGCTCACTTTAAACCAGGCTGGCCTCAAACTTAGTGACCCCCACCTCTACCTCCCTGCTTCTGGAGTTGTTTTTGTTTTTAAAGAGTTTCATGGACACAGTCAATATATATGGTTAATTTCTGTAAATCTGCATCTGTGAATATGTATGAGGTCCAGGTTTGAATTTAATGCCTTTATTTTAAGAGTATCTCTTAGTGAATCTGTTGGAGACTTCCCATCACTATCTGCAGCAGTTGATACTCTCTGGAGAGCTTTCATTCAGTTGTGTTTTTCAAAGTAGCCCTGTGACTTGGGAGCACTGTTACTATACCATAACACAACCAAAGAGCAGTGATGGTTTGACATTGACCTAGTGGTCTAACCAAGCCCTGCCTGACTGAAGTTACAAGTTGCCAGTCTCCATGTCAGAAACCAGGAGGTTGACTCTGGAGTAGAATGTAGACTCTCAACATAAGAGTTTTGGAAGGGGTCTGCATGCTATCATACAGCTGGATGAATTAACAGTTTTGTTTTCTTCCGTTGCTTCCTACAGCCAAATATTGTGCAGCTGCGTGACAGACTCTGCAGAGCACAAGGGAAGCCTGTGCCAGGACAGGAATCATCTAGAAGCCCTTATGAGAGGCAGCCGCTGTCCAAGGGCAGACCTGGACCAAATGCTGGCCACCCACAGATGCCCAGAGTTCAGACACAGCAATATTATCCCCATGTGAGTGATAGGGTCCTGATGACGTGGGAACATGCATGGACATCTGACCAAATGGATAGTTGAATGTGCTCCATAAAAGACATAGTGAAGCTAGACAGGGCATCTTGTGTCGTAGTTAGACTTTCTGTGAACTTGAGACTGGTGTTTATGACCTGCTTCTCAGTCACCTCTTAGGCAATTGTTTTAGTTCTAATCACCCTAGGAAGAGTGGTCAGACTTCCCTCATACCTGTCCATCTACACTCTAAATTTCTCCTGGATTCGTGTAACAAAGTATATAGGTAAAGTAGTGAGAATGAATAACGCTTTCAGTGATTTGGTTAATTTTTAGACAGTCTTTTTTGACCATTCTTTTTCCCATCACCAGTGTGAGTTTGCTGTGTCTTCTGTGTCCACACAGTCAAGAGTATCCCAAAGGCAAACATTTCAATAGACCAACTTAGACATTGCAAGAACTGACTGAGGGCTGTGTCTAGTGTGCATAGGATTACTGATTTTATCTAACCTTGTGTTTGTGACATAAAATGTGATTATATTTTTGTTTTTACAGTTTCATACAGAAACTGTATTTACCGACCAATAGATAATTCTTTTTTTTTCTCCTTTTTCTTCTTTCTTTATTGAGTGTCACTCTGTAGTCCTGACCGGCCTATAACTTACTATGTAAATCAGGCTAGCTTTGAACTTAACAAAGATCTGCCTGCCTCTACCTCCAGAATGCTGAGGTTAAAAGTGTGTGCCACCATGCCCTGCCCTACGTACATATTTTTTTTTTAAAGACTGAGCTATTTATGTGTTTGTTTATTTGTTTAGAATGCCTCCATGAATGTCTGCGCACCAGAACAGGGCACCAGATCGCATTACGGATGGTTGTGAGCCACCATGTGGTTGCTGGGAATTGAACTCAGGACCTCTGGAAGAGCAGCCAGTGCTCTTAACCTCTGAGCCATCTCTCCAGCCCCTACGTACATATTCTTAAATGGAAGATAGCTTTTTAATATATATAGATTACAAATGGTCTTGGGTGCTAGCAAAGCTGACATTTCAGATAGGACAAATTGGTGGTAGGACCAATCAGCTTTTATTATAGGAAAAGTAAACTAAAACCCTGAGAGACCTAGGTCCAGTTCATGCTGTTTATCTTTGAACTTTGGATCAATCCTCAGTCAGAACTGTGCTTTGGGGATTACCCTGATAAACATAATACACAATTTCTTTCAAAGCCTTTGGTGCAAGTGGGGATGAAATGTGGGCCAAGTGGAGAGGTAGGATGACCTAGCAGAGGTCAGGGCACAGAACCGTCATTTTTCAGCATTGCACAGCTGCTTGAAGGCTATACTAGGGTTAGAATTTTCGTCACCTTGTGTTTAGACTAAGCAGCTTCTTAAGGTACTCAATAAAGGAACACTTACTCTCTACTCGGAGAAAAGAACAGTTACCCTTTCTGTCTTTGGGTTTATCTTTCTGAGAAATGGTCAAGTCATTTAAAGACTGCAGAACTTTTTTGGGTATGCTGATGCACTCACTTGGGAAGCAGATGCAAGTAGATCTCTGAGTTGGAGGCCAGCCTGGTGTCATAGCAAATCCCAGGCCAACCAGAGCTACATACGTATAGAGATCCAGTCTCAAAAGTAAGACACCACAGCGCCCAACAACAGTCACAAGACAATCTGCTTCACTTTTACCAATCTTATATTTTAAGAAAAACTAGGAAATTCAGTCAGACAAAACGGATTTTCTTGCTGAATGGGTGAGGGCAGTGGTGAGTTTTAAAGTAGTTTTGTAGCTAGGAAAAGGGAAGGAAAGGAAGCTGGGTTGGTAGCTGGATTAGTAGCGGCTCCAGTCTCATTTTAACCAGCACAGCTTTAGATAGGACCTAAGAGTGTGGTATCATAGATACAATGCCCAGAAACTGGAAGGCCAGGTCAGTCTCACCTCCGTCACCAGTGAGCTGTATGGATCGTAACAGTGGCCTGTAAGTAAAGGCTGGGTTAGATGGACAGTTTTAATGCCCAGCTTGAGTGTGCCCTGACTGTATGATTTTGAATCTTCAGAAGAAGGAAGTACACAGTTTCTTGTGAGGTGGGTGATAGACCATGTTGCAGAGCACTAGTAGCATGGAGATAGTTTACTCATTATCCCAGAGTTATCTTCTTTCTCTACCTAAAGGACCTTTCTTCCCTACTTACTCTTTTTATTATTTACTTACTTCTTTTATGTGTTGTGGGTGTTTTGCCTGCATGCTCTCCAGATTCCCTGGGACTGGAATTGCAGACCATTACGATCTGCCCTGTGGGTGTTGGGAATCGAGCCTGGCCCTCTTCAAAGAGCAGTGAGAACTCCTTAACACCTGAGCCCCTCCTCATGTATCCCAGATGGGCTTGTTGTCATGCTTTGACTGGTCTTCACCGAGCCCTTCCTGCCTCCGCCTGCTGTCTTGTTGGTTTCCTTTGGAACCAGTTGCTTTACTACATGAACTCTTGCTCTTGCTGCTTTTATTTCTTGCTTTGTGTCTCGCCATTAAAACCTTTTGAGTTATTTGTTTCTTCTTTTAACGTTTTTACTTTTTATTTTCTGTGATTGGTATTTCTTTGTTCAATTCAGGTTAGAGTTGCCCCTACTGTCACTACCTGGAGTAACAAAACTCCTACTGCCCTTCCCAGCCATCCACCTGCAGCCTCTCCCTCTGACACACAGGTATAGCCTTCATTATTCCTCCTCGAGCACGATCTGCTCACTTAAATACATATAACAGTTTCCTAGTTATATATACGAGTGTGTATTCTCTCCTTCCTCCTCCTTCCTCTCCGGTCCTTGCTTGTGCCCATCTGCTGCTCATTGCATTTTATTACCCATGGGATGCAAGTGGCAAATTTTAGGACAATTAATTTCTTTTCTTATCCTTTCTCTTCTTTTGCAGTTCTAAATTTACTTGCGCTAGAAAAATCTCAACCAAGGTTCAAATAATGGTTTAAATTGAATTTTACTGAAAATGTTTCTGTTTTTTGTTCTTTTTTTTTTTTGTAAGCATTTCAGAAAACACAGACAGAAAGTCCCTTTATGATGCTTATTTCTAGAGTCTGGAGTAGTAAACGGAAGTTAGTGGAGATGAACCCTCTGGTGCCTTACCGCAGTGATGGTGCAGTGTTACTGAACGTGTTGTACGGCTGTTAGCATTTGCCGTTCACTCAGTTACTTTGGACTTTTAACTCTTTCAGAATGTGTCACCTAGAAAATAGGGTGTTCTTAGAAAGATAGTATATAGGAAATGCAGTTTTTTCTTCTAGTAGCTTAAAAAAAATAAACATGAATTCCATTTCAGAAATTGCAAGGCCATATGGTGATGTTCTTGGTCCCAAGTATAATCTTCCTTTCTACGCTATTCTCATTTCCTAGGGAGAAAACCCTCCACCTCCAGGTTTCATAATGCATGGCACTGTTAATCCAAACACCGCTGCTCCGCCGCCTCCGTCTCCAGGCCATATGCACAGCCAGCTACCACCCTACCCACAGCCGCAGCGTAAGTAGTGGGCCCTTTGAGTCTTCACGGTGGCCTGCCCTCCCTCAGCTACTTAGCAGCAACAAAGCCATGTTCACATCAGCTGTGACAGGTAAAATAGGGGGTAGGATGTAGCTCAGTGCTAGGATGCTTGCAGTGCTCAGTCTCCAGCGCCGGGGTGGGCAGGATGGTAGGGAGCAGACACAGAGAGACAGAGTCTCTGTCCTGAGTCTGTGTGCTAGGAAGCAGATTTGTGTCATCCTGTTCAGAACAGAGCTCCATTTCTGCGCCATGTAAAAGACCTGCTAAAGAGAAGAGTGTGTCTTGTGGTTTTGGAATAGAGAAACAGCGGTAGGAATTATCAGTATGTTTTCTTTTTTCTTCAGACAACATGACAAACCATAGTTTGGGAAGTTGGTTCATGGACATTTGTGGATTTTTTTTCCATTTCATTATTATTGCCTTTATTTCATGTAGACTTTAAAAAGTGAATTTAGGTTCACAGAAAAATTGAGCAGAAGGAACAGCGTTCCTACACGTGCTCACTTATACACACTTTGCACCCTCCACACTGCTATATGTTTTGCAGCAGTGACAAATGACGCTGTTTTTGCATGCCAGATCCCATAGTTCATGAGCAGTTACACTTGAAAAAAATCAAAACTGCAACCAGGTGTGGTGGTATGTGCCTGTAATCCCAGCACTCAGGTGGCAGAGGCAGGCAATCCCTTGAATTTGAGGCCATCCTGGTCTGCATAGTTGCAGGACAGCCTAGGGTATGTAGAGAAACCTTATCTCAAAAGAAAAACAAAAAGAAAAAAAATCCCAAACAGCTACTGTTTTATAACTAAGAATAAAGAACCTAAATAAAATCCTTAAGGTTAAAATTATTAGGCAACTATTAGAAAAAGCTCTCAGGGGACAATCATAAGATTAAACAACTGTAAGACCCCAGATGTGCCCCACACACACACGAGAACTGGTCCTTTTCAGAATTTGACCCCTTTCTGCGCAGTGCTCAGTGGGGCTGTTGTCTGGTGGCGGATGCACCGGGGGCTCTGTCCTGCTCATGCAGAGTGGTGGCACTGGGATCTCCCAGGATGGGTTCAGGTTGAAGGTTGAAGTCTTGAAACTATGGGCTTTCAAGAAAAGGACATGTCTGGGTGCTACGTCCTACATGCCTGCATCTTGTGGTTGTCAGCTGTCTCTGCAGTCTTCACAGGAAAGGGAAGACACGGGTAAGGGTAGTTTTTTTAGCAGCTCTTGGATCCGATGGTCCAAAATCTTTTTTTTTTTTGGTTTTTACGAGACAGGGTTTCTCTGTTTTGGAGGTTGTCGGTCCAGCCTGGCCTCGAACTCACAGAGATCCGCCTGCCTCTGCCTCCCGAGTGCTGGGATTAAAGGCGTGCGCCACCAACGCCCGGCCCCCGATGGTCCAAAATCTTTATCGCCAGCAGCATTCTAGGGATGGTGTTTTTCTCGTATTGAGGTGCTGGAGATGGAAGCAAGGGCTTAGCCCATGCTAAAGTGCTCTGTCACTGAGCCACGTCCCCAGTCCTAAGTGTTAGGTTTTGGTCTTAATTGTTTTGACAGTAATGGTTAAAATCATCTCTCTAGGATGAGATTACTTTTTTTCCTACCTCTGTCCAAATAAACATGTAACTAACTAAAATCTCTGTTTCTTCCCCTTGATGTAGCTTACCAGCCAGCCCAGCAGTATTCCTTCGGAACAGGGGGGTCAGCAGCTTACCGACCTCAGCAGCCTGTTGCTCCTCCTGCCTCTAACGCTTACCCTAACCCCCCATACATATCCCCTGCCACTTCCTACTCCGGGCAGCCCCAGATGTACACAGCACAGCAAGCCTCCTCACCTACCTCCAACTCTGCTGCTTCTTTCCCTCCTCCCCCTTCCTCTGGAGCGTCCTTCCAGCATGGCGGACCAGGAGCTCCACCGTCATCTTCAGCTTATGCACTGCCTCCTGGAACAACAGGTACACCGCCTGCTGCCAGTGAGCTGCCTGCGTCCCAGAGAACAGGTCTGCGCTGGGAAGGGATTTGCTTGGCCCCCGGTTTCATGAGTACAGGGTGGGCGGAGGGGCTGCCGTTCCAAGGGTTTGTGAGCTGAGTCATTCGAGGCATTGCTTGAGTTTTTATAACAACTTCTAAAACTTGCTATGAGTGTGAGCCTCCCATAATGAACATCAGCTGCTAAACGAGGAAAACCTTAGTCTAGAGCTTCAAAATGCTCAGGCCATATAACCTGCTACTAACTTACTTTAAAAGGTAGAAAACTAGCAAGATGAGTAGTAGTTGAAATGAGATTTAGTTGATACTGTTACATGGAATGCAGAACTTGAATTTTTGTGGGGGACAGGGACATCCTGGATTGAACTTAGGCCTCGCATGTGCTAGCAAAATGCTCTACCACCAACCTGTGTACTGAGCCCTTCATTCCTTTACTTGAGCTGAAGTGAGCTCAGTGTTCTTCAGTGTTGCTGATTTTGAAAATGACCTGTGGGCTCGCAGGCTAGCTCTGTGGGTACAGTGGTTCACTTGCTGCAAGCCTGACTATCTGAGTTTGATCCCAGCAAGAGGAGAAAAGTAACTCCTAGAGATTGTCCTCTGCCCTCCACATACACAAATAAATAAAGAAAACTCAAAGTTAGGCCTCTGTGCTCATCAGCATTGGAGAGTGGTTTCCTTTTCGGATTACGATGGATGCCCACACTAGCAGGGCAAAGCTCAAAGTGAGACTTATTGAGCCCTTAATCCTGAAGCTGTCCTGGGAGAGTCTGCTCTATAATTTGCTGGTTTTAATGCTAAGCAGGAACTCAAATGGATAAAGTTTATCACAAGTCTGTGGTAGAGGCATTTTTTTTTCAAGTAAATAACACAATAAATGTGGGTATAAAATATTTTTAAATATTACTGCTTCTAAAGTGTTACACATAATGTATCCCAGAATTATGAACATACCTCTTTCCCCCTTTTCCAATATAGTAATATTTTACCCAATATGTAATATTAACATCCAAAGAACAAAAATTATACACTATGAGAGTTTAGACACTTTAGTTGTCTTGCCTTTGTCTGTGGAAGCTCCATGGGTACTTAATACCACCTACCACCAACCCCATATATGATAAAACGGTTTATTAGTGAATAATAACAAGAGATTAACAGTAACTAAAAACTGAACAGCGGACTGAGATAACTTGCCAGCATAGGGCTTTTTGTGCTTTGGGCCACTGTTACGTGAGGTAAGGGACATGTAAACCTAAGCGTGGTAGGCGCTCTGCTGACTGCAAGGGCCGCGGAGTGACCAGGAGGTGGACATGCCGGACAGAGGGACAGCTTGCGCTCTTCTGTCTCGAAGTGGGGCAAGACAGCTGAACAGCATCAGATTATGTCAGACTACTCAGTGATGCATAACTTCAAAGCTTTCATTGTTTATGTTACAACTATTGCTTACAGATTCTTAATATTCCATTTAATAACTTTGGACCGAAGTTGACTGGAAAACAAAACTACAAATAAGGAAGCCATCCAGACACATCTCAGCAATACACTGTAGATATAGTAGTAGTTTGATGGTTTAGAAATGAGTGCTAGCCTATAGAGTTCCAGAAATACCCTTTAAACCTAGGTAAGCAACCATTCGGGGTCGCTGGCTAGGATTCTTTAGTAAAAGGTAGTGAAGGCTTAAATGCATCCCTCTTAAAAGAAATGCAGGACATCGAAGGGGATCCACATTTAATAAATGTCTTGGGCATGACTAGAATTTGCTGTGTTTTGTATTCAGGTCCTCACAACCCTAAGAAGCAGAAATTCTTAGTCTTGGTTAAATTGTAGTTGAGGAGACTGGAGTTTCCTAGGAGCAGTGAACAGTCTCAGGAGTGTGCATGCTGGTCTCTGTTAGCCTGGGTCTGTATCTTCACATCCTGTGTTGGAGCTCTGGTGTTAGTGTTAGACACTTCCCAGAGGAAGTACAGAAATTCCCCACATCACTTCTGGGGGGATTTGTCACTTTATAACAGGAAATAAATATTTGCACAGCATTGCTTTCCTCCTTGAGCAAAAGTGCATTTTGCTATGAGGTTATGGGTGCTGTACAAGTGTTCTGACCTGGCTGGGAGACAGAAAGGCTAATGGGAAAAACAGAGAAACTAACGTTCCCTCAGCATGCACTGTGTATGCCCTGCTGCCTGTTAACCTCCTACATATTAACCTTCCTTTATATCTTAGTTACAGTTACTTCACTATATTGGCATTTCCAATTTCCTAAAGTTTTTGTTGAAGTTACATAATTATGACTGGAAATTTTGTTATATTGTAATGTGTCTTGGATCCTGGGTTTGTTTGGGATTTAGAAATTCCAGTTTGCCAGTGGATAATTCCTCTTAGATCCTGTAGTCTTCTAAGCTTTCTGTTAGTATGAGAATGTGTGCCAAAGGCTCAGAGAAATGGATGTTGCAGTTAGCAGAACATTTTTATTTAGCCAATTCTTAATGAGAGACTCTTTATTCTGTAATTGGAATTATTGCCGTAGGAGACAGTATATTTCTAGGGAATAGCAAGTAATTCCTGCTACATGCTAGAAAATAAGACCTCTGTTTGTGTCAAATTTTGAAGAGCCTTATGAACTAGGATAGGAGTTTGTAGTTCATACCATAAGAAAGTAGAATCTAGTGGGAGATATTGAATTGCTGAGTGGTGTAGCCTAAGTAGTACTCTAGGGACAGTAACCTGGGGATGTGCTCACAGGAGAGATTGTGACAGTTCAGTAGAGTTAGAGGCAGGACAAATGCTGCCCCAGCTCTGGGGTGGAGTGGCGACAGTGCTGTTCTGGGAATAAATGCAGCTTCCCTTGTGACAGGCAGCACAGAGTAGCAGAAAGTCTTTACCGTCTCACAGTCTGGGGTAAGTGGGATGCTGTTTGACTCAGTCCTCAGCCCTGAGTACCTGACAGGTGGTCAGGGAGTGTGGTCACCCTATTTGCCTCTTCTCCGCTGCTGGAGGCCTGACAACGACACTGCCGTCACCTAGGAGCTCGCTGGAAAGATAACCTTAGGCCCTACCTTAACCTCACCAAATAGAACCTGTAGTTAAACAAGGTTCTCTGAATGAGGCCAACATGAAAGCACTTGGTGCCATATGTCATAAGTAGGTATCATTTTGGGAGATGCTGTGCTCTTAGGATATGCTGAGATTCATTTGTTAAATAGAGAAACGATCAAGACAAAAACTAGGGACACTGGTTTCTAAATGAAGGGAAAACCTCTCAGAAGACATAGCATAGTCAAAGGGGGAAATGCTATTTTAGAGTTCATTGTATTTGATACAACTTAAAGGAATTTACCCAAAGAAACTGGTAACTTTCTTAACTGAGCAGAAGACATTTCACATAACTTGATTTAGCAGTAAGTTTTAGGGCAATTGTGGTAGTGCATATCTGTAGTTCCAGCACTTAGGAGGCTAAGGCGGGAGGATCACGAGTTGAAGTTATCCTAGGCTACATACTAGATAGCCTGGGCTACATTGTGAGCACTCCAGGCTATCTAGTTATAGACCTTGCAATAAGCAAATTTTAAAAATCGTAAAGTAAGTTTTGTTCCTGTGAGGTTTATTGGCTTTTTCTAGGTGCTGCTAAGCTGGGAAGAAAAACTATAATTTGATAATTTAAGCTTAGATTTTCTTCCATAATACTATCTAAGTGACTTTTACATTTTATCTGCAGAAAATCAGTTTTTCCAAGACCAGGCATCTATATTGGAAGGTGAATTGGCTGTAAAACATACCTTGAAATACTTTAATCAATCATTAAATACAGCTAATGAATGGATGTTAACAATAATGCATGTGAACATACCCTAAATCTGATTGGTATAATTTTATTTGGCTTCTTAATTGAATCAAATTGAATGGGCGTGATGATTCACAGCTCTAAGCAAACCATAGAAGCCGTGTGTGTCATATGAACACACTGACAGGGTTGCTATATTGCTATATGCAGGTAAGAATGAGGTGATGGGGAGATTCGAGTGATTCTGTTGTGTGGTGTGTTTTAGTCATGACTCAGTATCTGTGACCAACTCCCAAGTGTTCAGAGCCCTATTCAACCTCCTGTCTCAAGTGAATTTGTAGGAAGGGAGTCCTGTGAGCCAGCTTCTTTGGTTTGCTAAGCAGTTTTATTGTGACTCAATATGCATATCAGATTAGCAAGCAAGGGGATATCCTGAAGAGAACACACTGGAAGGGGTGGGGCACTTTCCCTCTTCACATGCTCACTCACACACCTACTTCCTTGGTGAAGCGAGGTAAAGTAACCTCGTCGAAATTGGGAAATTGTCGGATTTCAGCACGCTTTGAAAGGTGCTGATACTAAAACATAGCAATACCGATGGCCATTTTTACTTTGAGATGCCGGGGTAGTGGGTTGCCAGTGTCTAACGAAACTTACTGTAGTTGTCTAAAACTGTGAGAATTACTGCTTTTATGTGGTGGATTTTTTGGGTGTTTGTCTGGCAGTACTGGGCATGGAGCCCGGGCCTCCTATTCTGGGCAAACATTCCACTGTTGAGCTGCTGCTTGACCTGGCTCTTAGTCTTTTTTTAATAGAACTGTGTTTAGCATCTGCAGTGTGCTTGCTGGATGGCATTTCCCTTTTTCCTTCTTCATGTGTTGAGGATGACAGATAGAACCTTTGCAGAAGCACACTTGTCAGTCTATGCCCTTTCTTTATCTGGAGAGAGGCATGAACTGGCTTTGGAGGCCGCCTGTCGGTTTAGACATTAGGACTCCAGCCTCAACCAGGACAGTCCCTTCCTTGTAAGTAGCATTGCTGTCAGATATGTTGCCTACCATGACAAGCCCTGTGTGACCCCTGCTGATTGCTGAAGTCCACATGACAGTTACCTCACAGTTGAGGAGAATTTCTAAGTGTGAGATGAGTCATTTTCTTCCTTTCAGTGTCTAAAGGAAACTGACTTCTGGTGTCTGTTCTAGGTCCTCAGAACGGTTGGAATGATCCCCCAGCTTTGAACAGAGTACCGAAGAAGAAGAAGGTAGTAGAAAAAGTATTTCTTACCCAGTGACTGTCTTTGTTGTTGTCAATTATTTATAGTCATGAAATGTGCACCGCAGATAACTGATCTTCTTTCCTTCCTTCCTTCCTTCCTTCCTTCCTTCCTTCCTTCCTTCCTTCCTTCCTTCCTTCCTTCCTTCCTTCCTTCCTTCCTTTCTGTCTTCCTGTCTGTCTGGGTTTTTTTTGTTTTTTTGAGATAGGGTTTCTCTCTGTAGCTTTGGAGCGTGTCTTGGAACTCACTCTGTAGACAGAGATCCGCCTGCCTCAGTCTCCTGAGTGCTGGGATTAAAGGTGTGAACCACTACCACCTGGCTAGCGGATCCTTTTAAAGGCAGAGCTTGCAGGTTAATACATGTTTTATCAGGCAAAAGAGAACAAAAACCACATTTCTTACTTAGTAGCTAACTAGCTCCTCCTGCCTTTAGACTCCAAAACAAGAAACCTCACACAACAATAGCAACAAACCCAGGGTCATCGAGCAAAACTCATTCGTGTGGCCTGCTGTCAGGCTTAACAGTGTTTCTAATCCAAACTTTTGTTGTTGTTGCTTTGAATAAAGTTTCTTTACCGCTTTTGCAAATCTATGCCAGCCCTTATTTCAGTCCTGAGTAAGAGGCTGAGAACCTGAAAACACAGCCCAGATCCCAACTACGGGTACTTGTCTTGGCTTGACCCTGTAGTGAGACTCTGTGTCAACAACTGACCTCTCCTACATGTGCCTACCCCCAGTAAAACCTTGTTCTGATGACAGGGATATAAAGGAAAGCCCTTCTGAAAGACAGGGTGCCGCGCTCCTGCAGGCCTCAAGCATCAGGGAACAGAGTTTCACACTTTGTTCTTGATTGTTTCAGGTCTAGCAGAAATTATGATTATATTTTGTAATCAATGTAATTTATAATTGCATTTTAGATTTTCTTTTGCAATATTTTCTAATTATTGTGTTTTGTCTGCATATGTGTCTGTGTGAGGGTGTCAGATCCCCAGGAACGGGGTTACAGACAGTTGCGAGCTGCCATGTGGATCCTGGGAATTGAATCTGGGTTCTTTGGAAGAACAGCCAGTGCTCCCGACCTGAGCCATCTTTCCAGCCCCTCACAATATTTTTTTAAATAAGTGTCTGATTTTTTTCCGTGTGTGTGTGTGTGTGTGTGTGTGTGTGTGTGTGTGTGTGTGTGTGTGTGTGTGTGACACACTCTCATGAGCTTGCCACAATGTTTGTATGTGTAAGTCAGAAAACACCTTTCGGAGGGTTGGTCCTTTCCTTCCACCATGTGAATCCTAGAGAGTGAACTGAGGTCCTTAGGCTTGGTGACAGGTGCCCTTATCCACAGAGTCAGTTTGCTCCCCCGGCACAGTATTAAATGAAGAAATGCCCTGCGCTTAGCATTGTTCATTTATCAATAATTGTTAGACATTGTCAATAATTTGAACACAAAATGGTATTTTTCCTTTCTTTGAAGCTATATATATATTGTAAATTTTTAGTGATTTCTTTCCCCTGAGTATAAGACTGAGAGGCTAGAACATAAAATTGGGAGACATTTAGTTAGGAAGCCTCAACAAAAGGTTAATAATAACCAGAAACTTAGTCGACTATATTCTTTAGTGCCAAGTAATAGCTACGTAGTGATCTATGAAACTGGAGTGACATCCTGTTGTCATCTGATATGTGCACATGCATGCACGCACCATACAGCACACATGTACGACATGTTGGTTCCTGTCCTGCTAGCTGAAAATGCCATGGCTTTGTGAGACGACAGGGAGATGACTCTGTAGAGTGCACTCCTCCCCGTGGTAGCCATAGTAGTCTGTGTTGACGCTTTGTTCTGCGACCCTGCATAAAATTTGATTTGAAAGTGTTCTTCTGCAAAGAAAATTTAACTCAGGTGCGCTGTGAGCTAAGGAAACGTTTCCTTTTTTTCTTAGTTTTAATGCTTTAATTCTCCCCCCCCCCCATCTTTTACAAGATGCCTGAGAACTTCATGCCTCCAGTTCCCATTACATCACCAATCATGAACCCTGCCGGTGATCCCCAGTCACAGATGCTGCAGCAGCAACCGTCAGCTCCAGGGCCGCTGTCAAGCCAGGCCTCCTTCCCACAGCCGCACCTTGTGGGCGGCCAGCCCTTCCATGGTGTACAGCAACCTCTTGGTCAAGCAGGCATGCCACCATCTTTCTCAAAGCCCAACATCGAAGGGGCCCCAGGAGCTCCTATTGGAAATACCATCCAGGTAACATAAATCTGTAGGCGTGGCATGGGAAGACGGCTCCTTTCCGTATGTTTCTTTGATACGTTAACTTACATGATTCTACAGTGTTAGTTTCTAAAAAGCAACTCCATTTTAGTAGATTGATTGTGCATATGTGTTTTATTTTTCCATTACATGGTATATGTTAGCTTTTGAGACAAGAATTACTCATTTTGGGAATGTATGTTTACTATGTCTCAGTAATTATAGTATTTTACTTAATGTAGTCAGTACACAATTTAAGGTTGGTTGAGTCTTCTGTGCATCTGAAGGTGCTAAGTAAAAGCAGTTTTTATAGGTTTTTCTTTTTAAAATGTTATGAGTTATATCATTTAATGTGTTTGCCTAAAACCTGCTAAGCTAGGCATGGTGACACACACACTTTTAGTCCTAGCACTCAGGCAGAGGCAGGCAGCAGACATGGCCAGGGCTCTACAGAGAAACTCTTTCTTGGGGGAAAAAATCAAACAGCATAAAACCTACTAAGTAAGCTAACTGTACCTCTAGATGGTGAGACACAGTTATACTTTAGTTGGCAGCATCTCAGAAGTTAAAAACTCTTAACACATTTCCAAGTGAGACTTAGAAGGAAAAAGATGATTTGACCTATACAGAAAAATGAAGAGCAGGGTCAGTATTCGTTATGAGGAAATTGAACGACGTCCTACCTGAGCCTAGAGTGTGTGGATGGTTGTTGAGAGATCACCCTGCCTAAGGAAGTTTTCAGTACTGCAGGTTGCATCATCTGAGCTGGCTCCTACCTCCTCTTTGACTAGAAGCTTCCTGTTATTAGTGGATAAAGACAAAATAATCATCCACAAAGCTGGGTTCGTATTCCTTGCCCTCTCTACTCCTACCATATTGGCCTCCATTTGGTTCCCTTGTATCCTGGAGTCCTTCCTTTGTATATATTATTCTCTCTCTCTGGAATGCTTTTCTTTCCCTCCTTAAGTGGTTAGTCCTGTTTATCTTATGTAATTTTCTGAAGTGCATTTCCCTCTCTTTGGTCAGATTTGAGCTATAATTTAGTTCCCCTGGACATCAACTTACTGTAGTTATGATGTTACATTTTGTTACATGTTTAAGCTTTGCTTCTCTCCCAGTGGCCTGTGAACTTCCTTAGGACTAAGATGGCTCACCAGTGCATAGCTAGTCCTGGTGTATAATTGCCTGATACTTTCTGTGTGAATGAAAGAAGTAACTGATGAGCAAAAGTGTAGAAAATTAGAACCCTGTTTGTCCTTTCATCTTTGTACTTAGCAATACTGTGATCTATTCTGTCTTACTCTTGACTTAATCTTGCAGTTTCTGTAATCAGCACACTTTAAGAAGAGTAAAAGGATAAATGTGGTTATAGCACTTTGGAGGCTTATGTTAGAATCACCATGAGTTCAAGAGAGCTGGGCTTGTACAGCAAAACTCTGTCTCAAAAAACAGTGAAAGACGGGGTGATGATGGCGCACATCTTTAATCCCAGTATTTGGAAGGCAGAGGCAGGTGGATCTCAAGGCCAGCCTGGTCTACAAAGAGAAACCCTGTCTTAACCAAAAATAGAAAAGGAAAAAAAGAAAAAGAAAAGAAGTAAAAAAAGGAATAAAAGGATGGAGGAATGCTAGGATAAACAAAAATAAAGGACTATGTATTTAACTAGTCAGTTACTTCAGAGGGAGGGAAGGAGGGAGGGAGGAGCGAGCGAGCGAGCGAGCGATCCCAGGGTCTCACATTCATTGAAAAGCAGCCTACCACTTAGCTAGATCCCCAGCCCTTATACAAATCCAAGCTGCCCAAGGCACGCTAGCACTTCGACTGGGTAATTTCACACATTAAATCTTCATTGTGATTGGCTTTGTTTTCCAGACAGTATTTCTCTGTGTAACAGTCCTCTGGCTGTTGTAGACCTCACTCTGTAGACCAGGCTGGCCTCGAACCCATGGAGATCAGCCTGCCTCTGCCTCCTGAGTGCCGGGATTAAAGGTGTGGCTACCACTGCCCAGCCTTCATTGTGTTTTTAACCCATCTGTCTATAAGGCGATGGGTCCTCTTTCGCATAGAATCAGAACTGTGTATATAAAGTGCTTTTGTAACACTAATTCTTTCTTACAGCACGTGCAGGTTCTGCCAACAGAAAAGATTAGCAAGAAACCAATCCCAGATGAGCACCTCATTCTAAAGACCACGTTTGAGGATCTTATCCAGCGCTGCCTCTCTTCAGCCACAGACCCCGTGTGTATTTCCCCCTCACAGTTCACTTAACTCTAAATATAACCTGGAGTTGGGTCAACAGTTAAGACCACTGTGGCTTTTGCAGAGGACCTGGCTTCATTCCCAGCACCCACATGGCAGCCAGTCACTGTCTGTAACTCCACCCCCAAGGGATCCGTCACCCCCTTGTGACCTCTGAAGGCACAGCACACATGTGGTGTGCACGCATGCAGACAAAACCCGTATGCACATAAGTTAGTCAGATGAGAATCTTAAAGTCCTTTGTGGTGCTCCTTCGTTATTGTTCCATGTCTGCTAGTTGTGTGTCTTAGAGGTAATAAGGCTAGCACTTAGTTTACTCGGTGAGATTAATGAACATTTAGCCTTCATAATGACCCTATGATAGAGTCTTCATTCTTTCACAGATGAGAAAGTTCCACGTGAGTAGCAGCTATTAGCCCTATCAGCCTGCTCCAAGTTCTCAGCTCCAGGCTGAGCTGCCTGTCATCTGCTGGCCGTCCTGGAGCTGATGTAGGGCACAGCAGTGACAGACAAGGGGGCTACTGCTCTGGAGCTCTCCAGTGTAGATGTGTGGCCATGGTTAAGGTAATTGTGTGGAGGTTGCATTTGGTTTGACGTCAGAGCCCATAAGGCCAGCCCTGTTGGAAATGTTTCATTTTGTACTAGCAAGCACTGGAAATGTCTGTTAACCATTGACCGCTTGTCTGTTGGAAAGCAGACATTAGCTTCTAGGATGTGTTGTTTCTTCACACGCAGGTGTTCATTTGTGCAGCCTTTTGCCAGCCTCGTGGAAAACGTGTTCTGTATTGAAAATGGCAGCAGACCAGAGAGTAATAGCGACCTTGTATTCTGGGAGTGATCGGAAGACCAAGTAGAAACTAGAGAGCAAGCGAAGCTGATAGCCAAATGGACGCCGTGTCCTGTGCCCAGCTCTAGGTGGACGTGCACAGTCTGTCCAAATGGACATTGTGTGTGTCCTGTGCACAGCTCTAGGTGGACTGCACAGTCTCTCCAAATGGACACTGTGTGTGTCCTGTGCACAGCTCTAGGTGGACTGCAGTCTCCCCAGGTGGATGCCGTGTCCTGTGCACAGCTCTAGGTGGACTGCACAGTCTCTCCAAATGGACACTGTGTGTGTCCTGTGCACAGCTCTAGGTGGACTGCAGTCTCCCCAGGTGGACACTGTGTCCTGTGCACAGCTCTAGGTGGACTGCACAGTCTCTCCAAATGGACACTGTGTGTGTCCTGTGCACAGCTCTAGGTGGACTGCACAGTCTCCCCAGGTGGACACTGTGTCCTGTGCACAGCTCTAGGTGGACGTGCACAGTCTCTCCAAATGGAGGAGCTCAGTGAGGTCAGGGCAGAATTCCTGTGTAGGCCTGAGCAGTGTAGAGAGGGGAAGAGGACACAGTGTATGACTCATCTCATCCATTGGTATTGACTTTAACCTACTCTGTCTTCACACCACCTTCCTCCTGTGTACCTAGGAGCCCTGGGTGAAGAGAACAGGAAGAGAAACACTTTCTGCAGCAGGTCCTATTTCCCTGCCCAGCTGTCCTGTCTAACAAGAGCAAGTAGCTTTGAGCAGGGCCCATGGGGTTTCTACCTATCAAGTTCCCTGCATTTAGCAGTGAGAGTAGTTTTATGATGTGGATTTAGTCTCCACTTTATTATGCACACTCGTCTTGTAGCACACTTAGTATGTATGCAGGGCTGCCCTTAACGGCTCCATCTGCTCTGCTGAGACACAGGCTGGGCACTCCTGCCTACGCACACTCGGCACTGATGCTTGCTGCCCCTCTGCACTCACCAACTCCAACAGGCCGCGTTTGCTCAAGCCAATCTTGCTCAGGCCCCTGCTCACACATCACTGCATCGGGCCTTTGTCTATGCCCAACACTGCCAGTCAGTCCCCTGTCCTAACATAAAAATACTGTGGCTGTGTATTATTCTTCCCAGTTTTTAGAATTTTTGTTATGTAAGACGTTGTTTCCAGCATAGGACATAGTGATGTGGTTTTTCTAAGGCTGGTTGCTGTGTATAAAGATTACTTATCATATTTTATCTTTAAAATTTTTAATGTTTGAAAAGTTTTCCACGATACACAAGTGTTTGGCTTGAAGCAGGGCCATTGACTCCTTAATTTAAGGGTCGATTTTACTGTTTAGGTCTTGGTCACCCTTCTTGGAGGGACCCACCCCCCCCAGGCAAGTACTCTTGCTGTAACACCCACCCCTTCCTGGTGATCCTAATGCCAAAGATGTTTCCTTTTTTCCTGTGCCTTAAGCCTGGAAAGAGGCAGGACTAAACACACCAGATGTCAGGAAGTGTGTAAATAGGGGTTTTGAAAGGTGAAAGCTAGCGTCCACAGCTTTCCATGTTAGTAGTCAGGCATCTGCGCTGCCCTGCCCATAGGGTTCTGACAGGACATGTCCTCAGCTGCAAGCACGAAGAGCACCACCCATGCACATTCACTACGTTCCCTTTTAAAAGTGCCCTGTCTACCTCCCATACTGCGCTCTCTCGCTCTCTCTCTCTCTCTCTCTCTGTCTCTGTCTCTCTCTCTCTCTCTCTCTCTCTCTCTCTCTCTCTCTCTCTCTCTCTCTCTCTGTCTCTCTCTCCCTGTCTCTCTCTCTCTCTGTCTCTCTGTTTCTGTCTCTGTCCCCCCTCTCTCTTTCTCTCTATCTCTTTCTCTGTCTCTCCTCTCTCCCACTGTTCCTGTCCCTGGAGGCTAGTCTCCCTCCTCCCCTTTCCCTTTTTTTAAAAAATTTAATATCTTTATTTTATGTCCATTGGTGTTTTGCCATGGGTGTCCAGTCTCCTGGAACTGGAATTACAGACAGTTGTGAGCTGCCATGTGGGTGCTGGGAATTGAACTGGGGTCCTCTAGAAGAGCAGTCGGTGCTCTTAACCACACAGCTATCTCTCCAGTCCCCCGTTCCCCTCTTTATAATCCCTCTCCCTAATGAAAAACCCTCCACCTGAACTCTGTTACATGGCATCTTTCTCTCTTGAACCACTTTTTTTTTTTTTACAACACCCCCTCTGTGTTTCCTTGTTACACACATAGTCTGTCAGTGCCCTCCTCTGTGGCACTGACCCACTGCTGCCACCCCAGGTCTTTGAAATGTCACACACTCTACGTGGCACTCTGTCGAGTGAGTTTGTGATCCACATGAAGCCTACTTAAAACCCCATTTATGTTCTGAAAGAGAGTGTCACCTCCTCACTGCCCTCAGTAGATTACTAATGTCCATTCCAGCAACATGCTCGAGCTTGTGGTCATGTTGCCTCCATGTATTGATAGCATTGAAATATTGAAGCGTGACGTCTGTTCTTCCTCTCCTGTAGCAAACCAAGAGGAAGCTGGACGATGCCAGCAAACGCCTGGAGTTTCTGTACGACAAACTTAGAGAACAGACAGTAAGTTTTTTTGGGGAGGGGAATGTAGATTATGATAGTCAGTTATTCTCTGTTGCTAATAAAGGGTCTCACAGCACTGTCCTTCCATGCATGGAGGGCAAAACGGCCAGGAAACTGGAGTGGGCTTCCCAGAGCTCACTGTGTGGGATGGGAGACACAACACGAGCGGGGAGTTAGCCCTCTTACAGCAAGATCAGGAGATACAAACTGATCCTTGCCTTGGGCCCAGGGTAGCTGGCCTGCCGCTCATTTTCACAGCCGTGTATCAGAAGCCAGAGACAGGGCAGGAGCTCGGTTGTCTAGAGAAGAAACCCGTCATCTCTCTGGAGTCTCCAGACCATCTCCCAAACAGATGATACAGAAAGCAAAACCAGGTGTCGCCACCAGGTGGCCGGGGGACTGTTCTGTGACTGTGAAGGGAACCTGCCCACTGCTCTGTGTGAGAGTGCTAAGATTGGAAAGGATAGCCGGGGGTGGTGGCGCACGCCTTTAATCCCAGCACTCGGGAGGCAGAGGCAGGCGGATCTCTGTGAGTTCGAGACCAGCCTGGTCTACAAGAGCTAGTTCTAGGACAGACTCCAAAGCCACAGAGAAACCCTGCCTCAAAAGAAAGAAAGAAAGAAAAAAAAAATGGAGAGGACAGGTGCTGCTGTGCTTGATGGCCTTGTAGTAATCCTGTTTGCCACACTCAGTCCCATCTGATAAAACAGCATCTCTCAGGAGAACCAAAGCGAAGAAAGCTGGTCTAACAGGAAGGGGCTTGGTCTGCGCTGATCCAAAAGATAGTATTATTCTTCATGGGATGTACTGGGTGATGCCATGGCAGAGAGCTAACTTTGATTTTAAGAGAAGATGGTGAGCTAGTGTGGTGGGTGAAGGAGAGTCAGGAGGACATCCTTAACTACATAGTTCAAGGCTAGCTCATTATACACGAGACCCTGTCTCAAAAAGACAGAGAGGGAGAGGACACAGCCAGGTATATTGGAGACAGTCGGGAAGATCACTTGCATCCAGGAGTGTGAGGTCAGCTTACACAATGTAGCAAGATCTGGTCACAAAAAAAAAAAAAAAAAAGCAAAACAAAAATTTGTTTATTGCCAGAAGAAAAGGACTTCACATGAGTAATCTTTCCATGGCTCTACTTTAAAATGTAACTTTTACCTGGTTGAAAATGTTTGCTTGGTTTAAAATATTCCAGAAATGCTAACTAGTTACACATTCTTAGAGAGTGTATTTCAGGCTCTGTGTAAATCTCTGGGTTTAATGCTTTCGGGGACCTCATGGGACACTCCCCCTAATGTCCTGCCTCCACCTTTTCTCCAGCTTTCCCCAACCATCATCAATGGTCTACACAGCATTGCGCGGAGCATCGAGACGAGGAACTACTCTGAAGGGTTGACCGTCCACACCCACATCGTCAGCACCAGCAACTTCAGCGAGACATCAGCGTTCATGCCGGTCCTCAAGGTTGTTCTCAGTCAGGCCAGTAAGCTGGGCGTCTGAGAACAGCTGTACTGTCAGCTGACATTGCCACTTCTCCAAAGAAAGCCATGCTAAGACTGGACCAACCCCTCATTAGCATGTTTCCATGGCAGCCACCCAGGAGCTTTGACATCATTTCTGCAGGTACCCTCACCCTAGAACTGCTTGAACCCTGGTGCTTTCTTTTGTTTTAATCTTCTATTACCCATTATGATTTTCTGCAAATAGTGTCTTTCCTGGATTACACATAGTGTGGTTTCCCGAGGGACTCTAACAAGGAGTGGCTTTTAAAACTTTTTAGAGAACTTGCATCTGGCTGTGTATAAAATGGACCGAAAACTAAATCTCTTTGATGTCTTCCTTACTTTCTCCACGTCAATCAGATTAAAGTGTGTAATCCTATCCTGTGTGCTTGTAGTCTTTTTTTTTCATTTTTATAATATTTTATTTACTTAAATATGAATGGTATGGGCACACCACTGTGTAGATGTGGAAGTCAGAGGACAGCTTGTAGGGACCATTGTCTTCCTCCCTGTGGCTCCCAGGGATGGAACTTGGGCTGTCAGGTTTGGCAGCAGTCACCTTTGCCCGCTGAGCCATCTCACCAGCCCTGTAGCTTTTAAAAATTGCCTGCTGAGCTGGGCCTGCAGCTCTGTGGGGGAGCAATTGTTGGCATACATGAGGCCCCAGGACCAAGGAGACACAGAGTCGGACATTCAGAATGAACGAAAGGTAAAAAGCCACAATGCAAAATGTAGATGAATAGAAACAGGTTAATGTAAGTTATTAGAGCTAGAGGGACAAACCTAAGCTGAGGCCGAGCTTTCATAATTGATAAGTCTCCATGTCATCATTTGTAAGCACACACACACACACACACTCCCTCCCACCCCTTTTCTCCTTCCCTTCCTTGTTCCCTCTCTCCTCCTGCACACACTGTACCACCCAGCTACACCCCCAACCCTCTTTCTTTCCTACTTTTGAAATTTGTTCTATTTTTAAGTTTAGTTTTAGCATGGGCACACAAAGCAGCAGGTGTGTGGCTTCCTCCTGCACACTGGGTTTTGGCTGAGTCTGCCCTCTCGATCCTTACCCCTCCCCCTTCCGTGTTTCCCCTTGCATACTCACAGCACATGTGGTCCCTCCTCACCTCTCCCTCACAGCCTGTTGTTTTAGGGCTACCCACACTCACCCCCTCAGGAACTCAGCTGGACAATAATCTAAAGCTAGGGTCGGCATGCTAGAGAGAATGTTTGCTTTTTGTGTTTTTAGGCCTGGCTACATTGTTAATGTATTTCCAGTTCCATTCAGCAGTTCATGGTGGTACATGCTATCCCAGTTCTCCAAAGCCGAGAGAGGAGGATTGCAAGTTTGAGGCTAGCCTGGGGTGTCTAATGAATATATGGCTAGCCTGGGGTGTCTAATGAATATATGGCTAGCCTGAGATGCTAGTAACACCTAGTCTTAAAAACAACAAAGCAGCCGGGCGTTGGTGGCGCACGCCTTTAATCCCAGCACTCAGGAGGCAGAGGCAGGCGGATCTCTGTGAGTTCGAGACGAAGCCTGGTCTACCAATCGAGTTCCAGGACAGCCTCCAAAACAATACAGAGAAACCCTGTCTCGAAAAACCCAAAAAAAAACCCCAAAAAAACCAACAACAACAATAACAACAAAGCTGGCTATGGTGGTACACATGGAAGTCTGAGCCAGGGAGGACATGTGATCAAGACCCGCCTCAGCTACACACCAAGTTTGAGGCTAGCCTGGACTACATAGTGAGACGTTGTCTCAGAATATATTTCTTTTAATTCAAAATTAAGGTTCCTTAGGATACGAAGGGCAAGAGACTGCTGACAGGAGAGGTAAATAGAGTGGCTCAGCTCTTTAGTAGACTCTCCTCCTGCCTGTCTGATGAAGTAGGAAATCAGGAAGAGCTTCCGACGGCCGCTGCCTCCAGAGCTTCGCCCCTGCTACCAAATCACGGCAGGCCTATGCAGAGCGACCAGGCAATGTGAAGAGGGCTCTGTGAAAGGAAAATCTGGCTCCTCACCCAAAGCAATGCAGGTCTTTGAGAGGACCCGTCCTGCCTCATCCGATGCCCTGCACCAACCCTCCTGTGGCCCAGCAGGTAGAGACTGAAGTGTGGAGGCTTGCTGAACCTCCCTGCAATCTTGGAGTCTGACTTCACTCCTCTGCTCCCTGAATCACTGGTGTAAGTCTTAGGACCGCTCCATACTCTGGAGCAGACTGCTCCCTTTGCAGAAGTTGTCAATGCCCTCCCCCAAGCTGTCAATCACTCCCCACCCCGCCTACCCTCCTCCCCCCCAAACCCCAAGAGCTGCAGACAGATGCCATCTGTAAAGGAGTTACAGATGACAGAAAGCTGCGTGGATGATTGGATGTGGCAGCTCTCCTCACAGCACAGCTGCCCTGTGCCTCCTAGAAACCTTGTTAGAGCTGACCCTGGAGCCCACTCAGCTACCCTTCTGTACAGCCGGGAGCCCAAGCAGCACCCAGACACTGGGTGCTCTCGGATGACGCAAAGTAAGGAAACCACGCTCGTCAGGACTTGAACACTGCACAAAGGTGTGCCATTTCGTGTTGCACATGAAGACACTGATTTGTGAGATTCATAATTTCACAGAGATCCACAACATTGCTGTGCCTCAATTCCTGTATTGTACAGGATGAATTGACAATCTGAGAGGCTGCGTCTCCCCACCCAAGTCACAGAATTCCCGGGTATGCTAATTTCAAAATGGGCAGGGCTAACTTACAATCCAGGTCTGAGGCTAAAACTTGGTCATTTTCATAAGGCTAGCACCTGTGGTCAAAGTTTGCATTTCCTTAGCAGGTACATCCAAGTGAGACTCATGTCTTTCAACTCAAGAATGAGTCTTGTTCTTCATTCTCCTCTCCAAAGCCTGACTCTTCTCACTAAAATATTTTTGTCGTGGTTTTAAGACACCTTGGCATTCTTTTACACGTGTGCATGTCTGTATGCTTACATGTTAGGGGAGTGCGTTAAGTGTGGTGGGTGTGTGCACGTACATGTGTAAGTGTTCTCATGGCGGCCAGAGGGCAACCTTAGGTATAGTTCCTCAGGCACTGCCCACCTTTTTTTGCCTTTGTTTTTTTTTTTTCCCCGAGATTGGTTCTTGCTGACCTGGAGCTCACTGCAGTGAGCATCAGGGATCCCCAGCACCCCGGCTTTGTTAGATGAGTTCTGGGGTCAACTCAAGTCCTCATGCTTATAAAGCAAGCACTTTGCCCACTAAGTGGTCTCTGGCCTTCCGAACGTCTTGGCACGTGGGCTGTGGAGATGGCTAAAGGTTAGCTGCTTGCTGTGCAAGTGTGAGCACCTGTGTTAAGGTCCCTGGAACTGTGTAGCGGTCTGTATCAAGAAAGGAAACCAGAGGACTCCAACAGCTCACACTGCTCTCTGGGTCCCCTGTACATGATTGGCATCTAATAATGCGTGTGCCCCGCACTGGCGCATGCCACCTGAGCCTGTAGCTTGGTGGCAGAGCTCTCCCAAAGCATGAAAAACCTTGGATTCACCCCCTGGGCTGGGGAACCTGATAAGGGGTCAGAACTTCCTGTCTTGGTCATATAAGTGGCCAGTCTTGGTTCTAAGATGGGGAATGGGAAACTGTTGGTTTATCTTTGGTACAATGGCTGCACCTTAATCTACTGCTATTTCAGCCAGCAATTGTGACTCTGAAGTTACTAGCCTGCTTCTCTGGCATCAGCTTGGCCACTCGGGCCACAATCTGGCAGGAATTCTATTCCTGCAGGCACTGGCTCTGCTGATATGACTAAAGGTAGCTTTAACTACATTTCATGGTTCTAGTCATAAATAAAACTCGAGATCCAAAGGCTGGGGTGAAAGCCTAATAGCTCAGAAAGGTTGAGTAGTACCTAGCTAACGTTTGTCTCCTTGCTGTCATCTCTTAAAAAGCCCATTTTTCACTCCACCAAAACAGAAAAAAAAAAACCTTCCCTACCCCTCCCAGTGCATGTCTTTGTCTCTGCCAGATGCCCTCAGAAGACCTATGATTGCTTTCAACTAGCTGCCAACTGAGCCTCCTGACCCCAAGTTAATTTTATTTAATTGATGCAAATGCAAACCTGGGATTCACAGTGATCGAATATCCCCCAACGGGAGACCATACCTTCCTCATCCTCATGCCCCTTGGATCTGGTACAAAAACAGTTGTTCAGTACACACCAAATAACTGAATGTGAGTCCTGCACATTAATCTCAAGGGTGGCCTTGTGCCAAGTGAGTGGTTCACCCAGAGAGAAAAGACAGTCTGAAGTGAGCAGCCCCAGGGCTTGGGAGGGTCTGGTGGGAGCCATAGTCAGCAGGAAGGGCGGGAGAGTGATTCGTATAAAATCCAGTTTGAGCCCCAGGTGGCATGTTCCACTGTCTCTCTGGTGGTTATGTGGTGCAACATTAATCTGTTTCCAGACAATTCTGCACGTCAGCTCCAGCAGGAGCACCAGTAGCCAGGACTCTGCCCCCTTTAGATGTGGCCTTGGTTGTAAGTTAGACATCGTTTTATCTGGCTGGCGGGACCCACCCAGATCTGTTGTCATTAAGAGGCTAGTGTGTAGTTCTTCAGGTGCTTAGTCCTCAGTGGGTTTTTTTGTTGTTTGTTGTTTTGGGGTTTTTTGCCCCCATAAGGGATCCTGGATTCTCTATAAGGAGTCATCAAAACATCAGCTTTAAACCAAAACAAAACAGCTGGGCAGTGGTGGAGCATATCTTTAATTCCAGCATGTGGGAGGCAGAGGCAGGCAGTTCGCTGAGTTTCAGGTCAGCCAAGGATACACACAGAGAGACCCTGTCTCCAAGACAAAACAAAACAACATCCTTTCAAACTCAGATGCTAAGAATTCACAAGCCAGAAGGAAGAATGATTCTGATTCTCTGAAAAGGAAATTGATTCTGAGATGGGTTTAAAACCAACCAACCAACCAGACAGACAAATGGCTCAGCAACCACATGGTGGCTGGCAACTATCTATTATGAGGTCTGGTGCCCTCTTCTGGCGAGCAGGCATACATGCATGCACAACACTATATATGATAAATCAATCTTAGCCAAAGTAGAGCATAGAGCCTCCCTTTATCCATCTGTCCCCTTGCTGGGCACCAGCTCACCCACCCTCTGTGCTTCTGATGATCCCACCCTCTGGGTGGCTGGAGATCTGCTTTGGAGGGGAGAAACCACAAAGGAGGTGCCACAGAAAACAGGAGCAACCATCCAGTAAAACCCTCACGGGGTATGTTAGGTGTGTACTGTTCATGTGTGGCAGTAGACATCAAGTAGTTCATTGTAACTTCCTTCATGGCAGAAATCCTCCTCATCTCCAACAGGAAGAAAAACTTAATTT